ACTAAAGGACAAGGCAGCAGTAAGAGTCGACGTCATTCTGCCAATGATGGGGGCACACACATGTCTCGAGTTGACTAGAAAGTGTGACGTCTCGTTGGAACCCATACATGCTTTCTAAAAATCAACCTATCCGTGGTGTTAAACGCTTCATATGTAATTATTTTGTATCAATTTCTCGTCGAGCAAAGCGAACAAGCTCAGGCTTTATCACAGCAATTATCACAACCTACCCCACTCTACAATATCTATAGCAATAATATTTACTTAACCCACCGTTTATATACAAAGTACAATGGACGAAAATAATTATGTATCGGCAAGTCTACGAAATCTAAGTAAGTCTAAATTGATCCAGGTATTCGTGTATAAACTGCGTTCAATACATTTCAGAAACGATTATTATAAGAAGAAATTCTCGAACAGAAAAATACTTTTTTGTGAATGAACGATTTTTAAATCTTGTTGGTATAATACATTTTTTTTTTTTTTTTTGATTATTGTGCTTATAAAAATCGAAAATCATTGTCGAAAAATGAATTTATATATTTAACAAATGTCCAAGTCATTTGCAAAAAAATCATAGATTTTCGTTTCGAAACTTTAAGTAACTTTGCAACATTGTCTTAAAACATATCGTAATACATACCTGATTTTATAAAAATGTTTATATATACTATGTGTTATATTTTCCTGAAAACAAAAGAAAAAAGCAATATTAAAAGATGTTGAAGTGTGTCTCTTCTGAACATAAATGGCCACAGTGATCGTAGTAATACTGAAAGCAGTAAAGTACATGTTTGGGCATTTATATATATTTTCTTTATCTTTGTATATTTTATGTAGAATATAAGGTTATGATTTTTTGCTGTAGCATAATCAAACTTTAATAATTGCACTACATCTTTTTCAAAAATAATTTGCACGGTAAATTGGATTTCAAAATTGAAAATTCCACTTAACACTAGTGGGTAAGATTTAAAGTTACTACGTAACGATACTGTATACAATACTATAACAGCCTTATCTAAAATTCAACTAGCTCGTTCGGCGTTTTTCACCACAAAAGTTGATACATGTATTTATATGAATGTTACCGAAATACGTCGAACGTACAAAATTTCAAGTTGAACAATTTCAACTTTGACAGAACGTATTTTTCATTTTTCTTTTGTTGAAAATAAAAACAAAACATTGAGGAAATACGAAATCTCGAATGGAAACTTAAAATATTTGGATTAATTTTATAGATTTTCCATTTTATTTTGCGGATTGTATTATTCGCTTGAAGATATGGATTCGACGTATTTGGGTAATACGGCCGTACACAAAGTTGAAGTTGAATATATTTGTACGCTCCGTCGGATAGTAGGTAACGTTGTAACATATTTTTAATAAATGTTTCTAAATATATACACATATACAGTGGCGACACTTCCAATGGCACAGTTATTGTGAATATTTTCATAGAAATATTTGACTTCTCTTCCTATGTTTAGAGATTCAGAATAACTTCCCATAGGACAGATCGATTAATAGTTAATTTGAAAAAAGCGATCCCTTCTAAACTGCACCAAGGATATGGATAACAAATTCGACAGCAACTGGGACTAAACATATCAACAGGCACTGGTAAAAATTGATTACGAGGAAATAACTTGTTTGGGCGCAATGTCAGGCGTAAACCATCTTGCCAGGCCCATTTATAAAAACTATTTTCTTACTGGAATACTGTACTGTAATATAAACAAAAACTAAATAAAAAACTAGAGGAAGAACTTTTAATTAAATAACAACAATATAGGTAGTTGAAATATAATGCAAGTTCATAACTTTTGTTCCCAATTGATAATCGCAATTAATCATCCTTTCAACCGAAAATGTCCCATTAAATTAAAGAGGCTGTGAACGTTGTGATATATAGCTTACAGCTTACAGTCAGTGCCATTAAACCCAATTTTTTTAACTTCCTTATAATAAGGTGTCCTCTTTTTCTATAATCTGTCATCTTTGTCATCTATATTTCAGTGAAATATTTAGAAAAGGTATTTTCAGGATTTGTAGACATATTTTCCAACCGAATTAGCTGTTCTTTTTATACTTCGAGTTCTAATTGTGTAAGAAATTTCCATAAAAATTAGTAATGATTTAATTTTGGTATTTTTAGGGTTCCTGGATACGCTTTACAACCGAATTGGCTGTAATTTGTTATTTTGGTTCTATGTTTCTAGGTGTCCCCAACATAAAGAAACCCAACTTTTTTGTCATTCTTTAATTTTACAAAATTTGCCTTAAATTGCCTGCAAAATATCCTGGAAAAAATTTGAGAAAATTTATAAGTAAATCAAAATTTAGGTTTTTTACGCATACTATTGTTTTTATTATCTATTTTCATTTGTTTTTGTCATCTTATTTCATTCTCAAAATCTGGTCGCCTGGCTATTTATAATATTCAATATCAATATTCAAATCTATCGAAAGTCTTAAATAAATCGAGAGCTACAAATACACCGCACAGTGTCACGACCGCGGCCAAAAATGGTCAAAACCAAGTACCACGGAAGAAAATTTTTTGATGAGCATTGATAGCAACTACTCCAATTAGAATAAATATGAACTTTTACATCGATATGTCGAGTAGTTTTGTCTCTACAAAGGTTCAAATCTGATAATTATTTATAAACTGATTTTTTACCATATTTTCGAAAAATGGGCATGTTTTTCTGATGCTCAAATATTTGAATATTCAAATTAACGGTTATTTTAAAAGTGTTTATTTCGGTTGCTGTGGATGTAAAAACTAGGATTCGCTTTAGTTTGTATGTATATAGATATCATATGGTGTATACAGTCGTCCACACTTGTAGTACTTAGTTCATCAAATTTGTAAAACAAATTTTAAAATTAGTGGAGCAGAAAAAAAGTTTAAAAAAGGTTAGCTCTATTTTTTTTTTTTTTTTTTGAGTGGTGAGAAGTGTGTTATTTAAGGAATAAATAAAATTAGCTGCGGAGTCCTGCGGTCCTATGAGTTATTTAACTTTTTATGTGACCACCTTATGAAAAAATATGGCATATTCACGAAATGGTTAGAAGCGAATGTTATGTTATGTATACAGTTAAATAAGTTATTGAGGGTCAAATAGGAAGGAGAAAATGGATTCAGAACATAGTAATAATACAATATTGTACATAAAATATGCAATTAAGTGGTAAAAACGTTATTCGAAGCGGAGACATGGGAGAATTGGTTTTTAAATATAGCTTTTAAATAAATTTTCAGTCAGTTTGAAGATTATACCTATTTATCAGATCATTTGAGACATAATCTTACCTTTGTGGAAAGTTCATACAGAAAAATATTAGTTCATGGCATGGGATATGCAAAGTGCAGTACAATACCTTTTGAGCGACTTTCACAAGATGCTAACAAGTCATGCCAACAAATAATTAGTAGCAGCCCGAACATTTGTTAAAGTCGAGCTAAATAAGGATTTTATTTAGTATTTTATATTACAATCCGACCTTGTAATATCCTTAAACAGCCATAAAGTAAAGGCCCAAGATTATAATGTGGATGATACTAAATCGTACATTTTCGTACATTATATATATATATATATATATATCTGATGTGTGTTTTGAAAATGTTGTGAATGATAAAAAAGTAATCTATTAGATATCAAATATTTGTTATATTATAATAAAAATAACAAAAATAAAACTACTATACTTAATTTAGCTGCATATAACGATTTTATAGTACAGAAATTTAAATTTTTAGGGACTTTTGGTATGGTAGGTACCTGAAATATGGGCCAACAACTAAATTACAACACCTATTACTGTCTTCGCCCAAATTAGATGTAATTTGGACGAAGATATGAAAATTTTCGTGGAATTTGGATGAATATAAACTATTTATAGGTCCAAAAACCGGATTTTCAAGACCCTTTGTATGGGAGGTATATCAAATCTTGGTCCAATCTACCCTGTTTTTGGTCCGTTGCTTTATAGGCATAAGTAAATGTAAATTGCCAATTTTCATTGAATTTGGTTGAATTTTAAAGATTTTATAGCCCAAAATAGTAAAATTTTCAAGACCCTTTGTATGGGAGGTAAATCAAATCTTGGTCCAATCTACCCTGTTTTTGGTCAGTTGCTTTATAGGCCTAAGTAAATGTAAATTGCCAATTTTCATTGAATTTGTTTGAATATTAAAGATTTTATAGGCCAAAAAGGGTGACATTCTCAAGACCCAATATGGGAGGTATAACAAATCTTGGTCCGACCTATCCAATTTTTTGTCAGTTGCTCTTTAGGCCAATAATAAGCACATGTACCAAATTTCATTAACTTACGATAACTCCTTCTATTTTTGGCCGTTGTTTATATGAACTCGCGACATAGTGCACCGTAATTATTACCAACAGCTTCCCTAATGGTATCTGTAATATAGAGCAAACATGTAGCAGTACTATGGCGACGCCTGAAACCAAATTGAGAATTGTTCAATAACGTCCTTCCATTAATGTACTCTAAAATATGGAATTCCATTAAGAACTCCGCAGATTTAGATAACGTGATAAGTATACTAATTGGACGAATTACTTTAAAATGTAAAACTGAAGTTGATGTTCTTTTATTCTACCACCTTGTATAATTATATCATATTATTTTGGGTAAATAAAAGATCTGTAAATTTCATTGTGATTAAACCAAAAAAGGCATTATTTAAAATAGATTCGGCATATCAGAGAATAGAATCATTGTTGTTCTTACTGTAAATTGCAACATTGGTTCAGTTTCGGCAATACAAAATATCATTTGAATGTAACTTCATTTCATGCGCATGTGTTATTATTCGAGAACAGGATGGAGCAAGTACTCGGTTATTTGTTGAATACCCACAATTCACTCACGGCTATCACACAACTGAAATTTACAATACACAGAAACAGCTGTTCTTCCTGTGAATAGAAGAAAAGTTGTCTATAAATTGGAAAATGCTGGAAAAAGAAAATTCGAAAGATAAATTAAATGTGCCACCAGGAGAAGTACGAAGCGATGGAGCAAGACTAGCCTCGACAAAACAATTGAGTCCATTGGTTTATTGGGCTCAGACGGCATACCAAATCAATCTTAAAGTGGATCTTAAAGATGCAGAGGTAATGTGACGGCACTTAGTTCCTAGGCGCAGTTCAAACTCATATTTTTTTGGATTTCACAGTTCGCAGATGTGGATTTTACACCCAACAAACTTTATTTCAAGTCCAAAGGTATCGGTGCCAGGGGTCTGAACGACTATGCTTTCGAAATTACTTTTTATGGATTTATCGACGATGAGGTATGATAAGGAATGACATGAAATATCCTACTAGAGTACATAATTCTGCTACTCTTGCTTCGCCACAGGAATCTCGTTACAGAGTGTTTGATAACAAAATCGAATTCAATATTGTTAAAAGCGAAAAGGGATGGTGGCCTCGTCTTGTTGCCACTCCCCAGAAACCCCATTGGTTAAAAATTGATTTTGATCGTTGGCAAACAGAAGACGATTTGGCCGAAGAGGAAAAACCACGAAATGTTCAGGTATGAATTGAATCGGATTTACGCCTTAGTTTACCTCTATGTTGAGTGAACTGTTGCAACACGTTTGTTCCATTTCAGGAAGACTACTCACAGGAATATGAACGCTTGCAAAAAGAAGAAATAGGCTATATTAAAGGTGAGATAATTCAAATTGAATAGAGAAGGAATAATAAATAATGAATATCCTCTCCACAGAAAGCTCCAAAAAAGTATATCTGGTGATATACAACTTGGTGCAGTTTGTTGGCTTTCTATATGTTTTAAGTGTTTTAGCCGTCAGATATTATCGAGATGGGCCATCTATGATACCAACCGCATACGCATTGGTAGGCAATGCTATGAAATTTATTCAATTGTTACAATATCTGGAAGTTTTGCACCCAATGTTCGGATATACAAAAGGTTCGCCAATAATACCATTTATGCAAGTAACTGGAAGAAATTTTGTTCTTTTCGTGATGATTGAATTTGAAGAAAGGATGCAGTCGAAGCCTGCCGTGTTTTATGTTTTCGTAATATGGTCCTTGATTGAAATATTTCGGTAAGTCTATGAAATAATAAAAAAAATCATTTTATTATTTTTGGTTTCTTTTCAGGTACCCGTACTATGTTAGTCAAATATTGAAAATGCAGTATGGTTTACTGACCTGGATCCGCTACACAATATGGATACCTCTGTATCCACTAGGCATACTTTGTGAGGGAATAATTATATTACGAAACATTCCGTATTTTGAAGAAACGAAACGTTTCAGCATCGAAATGCCAAACAAGTGGAACATATGTTTCGACATGCCGACTTTCTTAAAAATCTACATCATCGTACTAATACTCCCCGGATCATTTATGCTTATGTCACACATGGCCAAAACAAGAGCCAAGAAATTAAATAAGCGACAACGATCACGAAAACTCAGTGAATAGAAATGCAATCTCTTAACTAAATTATTTATATTGTGCTCACTTGATCTTGATGTGTATCTTTGTGGCGCATACAAATAAAAATTTTAATATCGTAACCAAAGAAGAAATTATCCATTTTATTTTCTATTTTTGCAAAAATTTTGCATAAATAAAAAAGGCCATAATAAACTAGAAATTAAATAAGTAAAACAAGCATTTTTATTTCGAAATTGTTTCTCGCTTATAAACTTCAATGATTTATACAAATCCAAATTAGTTACAAAAAGGTATTATTCATGAGCCAAAAATACTATTGGAATTTAAGTTAAAACATTCCTTTTTAAATAATGAACTACTGATCATAGATTGGACAGCCTATTCAATTTACCCATCAAATAATTATTTCACTTCAGCTAGAATAGGAATTTTGTAGTTGTTTACCAGTTGCTTATAGGCAAAGTTATAATTGAAAGAAGCGTAGAAGTGGGTTGCAAACTTTCAAAAAAAAGAACACGTTGTAAACTCGTGAATTCATGACTATGTATAGCAATGCAATTTTGACAATTACCTTCCAGTTCCCACTTTTCTCCTCTAAACTAATAATACTATTGAAATTTAAGTTAAAAAATTCCTATTTAAATAATGAACTACTGATCATAGATTGGACAGACTATTCAATTTTCCCATCAAATAATTATTTTACTTAAGCTAGAATAGGAATTTTGCAGCTGTTTACCAGTTGATTATAGGCAAAGCTATAATTGAAAGAAACGAAGAAGTCGGTTGTAAATTAAAAAAAAACACGTTGTAAACTCGTAAATTCATGACTATGTATAGCAATGCAATTTTGACAACTTTGACATTTCTCCTCTAAACAGTGCACGGTTTTCCATAGACAAAACAATCGTATACTGGCCAAATACTTTGCATAGTATAGGTGACGAATAGTAACATGATACCAATAAAATACTGACATTGGAGAGCCAAGTGCGTAGTTAAACGAATCGCATTATGCGGAATTGATTCATAGTTTTAAATTCTTATACGAAAAGTGGCAGCAACAGTGCGGCGAACGTACACAAGGACACTGCCAAACGCTCTATTCAAAACACGCAACATTATACATACACATATTATTTATGGCTTTCGCGAACAACATGTAAGGCCACTGTTCCAAATTCGTCCTCCAATGAATCTTTAATGTTTACATATATTTCAGTGTTTCGTACATTTTTTGTTTTTTTTTTTTTTTTTGTTTTTTAATATATTTTGTAAAATACTTACCAGAATTGGGAAACTTTAGAAACTCCTCGCCAATTACTATGTTACTACGTGTTTTCCTTTTCCTTTCATTCACAACAACTAATTCGTGTGGGGTAGGCCTTCGTAGAGGAACTTCGTTCGCGTGAAGGATATAGATTGCTTGACACTTGTAGTTAATACCTTAACATGGACTAGGCTCCAGACATTGTTCCAATTTAACCTTTTTTGAATCAACAAATAAAATCATGACACAACTCCACATCGAATGCATTTTATCGCTTTTAAATAAAATGATGTGCGCTACGACGGAGCAGCAGCACAACAAATATATAAAATTTTTTACACACTTTTAGCACCCTGCTCTTGTTCGAACATACTTTTGCACAAGCTAATCACAGAAAAATTGCGAAAATTGCATTGCAACACTCCATTTACTACAAAAAATACACAAAAATCCATCGTCTACACAGGACAAAAAATTATTACTGTTGCCAACAACGGCCAAATGACAGACAGCACAGAGTTGTCTCGTTGACATTTCGAAACAAACGTAAGGTTCAAAGAGAGCCGTTGTCAAAAGAGTATATCACTGTAATGTAAGTAATCGTTTGAACATTTGAATTAGAATGTGACGCCGTAAAATACTGTCAACAACATGTCGACCGGATGCTTAAGTGTGCCATAAGTAATTTCATACATTAGCATTTGTATCACACAAATTCAATATCTCATCGAATAAAGTTGTTAATTAAAGAAGGGTAGTCTCTAAGTTGTCGCTGTACTCTTCCAGTAGTATTTAGTCTGTAACCAAGGTTTTATAAACCTTGTCTGCAACTTTGTTTAAATATATATATATATATATATATATAGTATTCCATGGTATAATAATAGAAGGTAAAAGCAAGTGTTGTTGTACAACAAACGTTACAACAACCACATGGAAATTTGTTTTTGTAAGTTTTACTAGTGTCAATGTCATTTGACAGAAAAATGTAAACAAACAAATAAATTATATTTATTTTAAAAATGAAACATTTTCGAATCCTCAAAATAAAGTTTGAAAAACATGAATGAAAATCTATCTAATTTACATTTCTATCGCTTCAACATCTTACCTATAATTGAGATATTGCCACTTATATGTGTAAGCGTGGTTTTATATTTATCGGGATCGGTGCGTACAAATTTATTTACCTCAAAAGTTAAATACATACATGTGTTTCAATGAATGTTACCTAAAAATTTTTCGATCAATTAAAAAAAATGTTTTCATCCATTATCGCCGTTTTCAATTGGCACAGATGCAAATAAAGTCCTTGCGTATTTGGGTAATACGGACATCTAACAAACTCTATAAAGGTGAGAAGGTGAGTATTTTTGTACAGAGCACAATAAATTAGGTACGACCCTTAAAGACATTCGAAAACGAATCGTCCCTTTAGATGAACTCCCAACCTTTGAGAACAAGTTGGGAACAAGTAATAAATTATTGTTTTTGACCATCTGCATAGACAAATTATCAGTACTTTTGGGATTGTGGCTTTATACTTATTCATCATATGTGATATTGAACTTCTTTGGACATCTATTTGCCCACAATGCGTTTTATTAACCCCAATCCGAAATTATTACAATTTGTTTACTAAATATTTATTAAAGTTACCTCTTACCACTCATGAAATTTTAAACTTTGCGAAAAAATATAATTATACCTATAAACTCCGATTTGATTCTTCCTCTAGAAGTGAGGTTGAGGTTGGCTCGGGCGTTAATAATGCCAATGATTTTATATGGCTTGGAGATTTATTCCGGTACTTCGCATTTTATTTTACATTTTGTTCAGTTGGCGGTAAGCAGGACTGTTCGTTATGTTTATAATTTGAATAATCGTGCGCATGTAACGCCGTATGATATGAGATTCCTTGGGGTTTTATTTCATGACTTTATTAAAATACGTTTAATGTTGTTCTTTTTCAAAATGATGAAAGCTCAATCGCCTATGTTCCTATTTCAATCGTTTCGTTTTTTGCACTCTACGCGACTTAATCAATTGTCTGTTCCTAATGCTTCTCTTCTTATGACAAATTCTTTTGTGGTTAGAACAGCCAGAATATTTAACCTGTTTCCTATTTATTTGAGAAATTTTAGCGTCTCTGTAAATATTTTTTCAAAATTGTTGTTTCAGATATTTTCTGGTGATATTAATTGATGCTTTTTTGTATCAATTCCTGTTGGAGTTGACCTTTGGAAAATAATAGATTTATATTTTGGTGGTTTCACCTGTTTGTTCTTGCGCTTTGTGCCTATTATTTTAATTTGTGAAAGTTTCTGAAAGTGCACTTAATATTTTTTATTTATTCTGTTAATATGTAATATATATATATATGGTATTTACGATTGTATGAATTTATGTTTTAATTTTTTGAATTTTTATTGTTTTTTTTTTTTTTTGGGTAGTTTATCCTTTATTAGGTTAAGCATATCATATGCATTTTGTAATTTATCTTAAATGGGCCTGAAGGCTTTGAATTACAAGTTAAATAAAATTGAATTGAATTGAAAAAACGGTATTTTTTAAATTCGTCAGAGTTGCATATGTTTTGACCCAGCTAATATCGAGTTATGTACTTTATCAATAATTCAGCCTGACTATTTTGCAAAAACAAAATAATTTTTACAGCAAAATACCAAACATTTCTGGGAAAAAATACAATTACACTTCAATTGAACCTAAAACGTGAAAAAATACCAAGTTGATATATTTTTGAACTTCAAATAAAGAGATTACTACATATTTTCATGTTTTGACTACAACTGTATGTTTAAATATAAAATATATGAAAATACAAATTTTAATGTTAAATAAACCAATCACCATTTTTGACTTTGTAGTTTTTATTTCTGCAGTATCTGCATTGTTAGTTATTAAATTAGTATTCATGCTAAGAACAAGAAGAAAACACGACAAATGTGGTCTTTCTTTGTAAAATTCTTCAGCTATCAAGTTTCCAGTTTTTCGCATTAATTAAAATAATACCTTTTATTATCATGCATTAATATTTACAATAAATTGTTTACAATTTACAAAAAAAAAAATGGTTCTAAACTTTTTATTTATCCGTAACCAAGGCCAGTAAGCGAATTCATAGAGAAAACTTAAGTTTAAACTCAATGCTTCTTTTTCGCCTTTAAATAAAAAACACAGCCAAAACACAACACAATCTCTAATTTGTAGGATAATTTACTTGAAAATCTTCTTTAAACTCTTGAAATAGTCCAAATGTGCTTCACAAAGACGATATAAATTAAAATTAATGTTGGCAAGATATTAATCAAGGTTGATATTAATATTTTCGTTTTGACGTCTAACATAATTTTGTATGTATGTATAGGTTTCAAAATATGATTTGACAGCCAACTTTATACTCAACTGTGCTTACTGTCCGACCTTATATAAGCCTTGCTCACCTGTGCTTACTGTCCCCGACCTTATTTAGGCCTTGATCCGTTACATAGAATAACATAATTGGTATGTTCCCGTACTGCAAGAATCTACTATTTTTTACTCCGTTAACACTTTTTTCCTTTATGATATCGAAGAAAATAGTAAAATCGAGTAGATTCTTGCAGTACGGGAACAGACCAAATATGTAATATTTTCTACAATATGCAAATATAGAGAAAAACACTTTGTTCCTCTGTGCATAAGAAAAGAAAAATTAAAACGTAATGTTTTGTTTAAAATACTACATTTATTTTATTATATAGAATTACATCAATTTAAGTTTAAGGTTTCGTAAAATATGTATGTATATGTATATGTAAGAATATATCAAGAGTGAAATACATATTTATTTAAAATGTCAAAATTAGTCTTTACACGATAAAAATAAAAAGATATACAATGTGAAATTTTGATGTTTCCTTGTCCATCTGGGCGATTTTCAATCCGTCTGTTTGTGTACATATATATGTATGTGAAAACATATATACACATCGTATTAATTACTAAATAGGCATAATAATACAGTACATACTAAAGTGATATTTAAATAAAATTACATACAACATATCGTTATGCATCTAAGAACCGATCCTCTTGAATTTACCGCATCATACGACATTCAACGCCCAAAAAAAGGAAACAAATTACAGTTTATTACTCCATTACTCCATTTTAAATAATGTGGTCTCAAAGTTCAATTGATGATGTTGACAATCTAGTGCATATAATTAACAATGTTATGGTTTTCCGCAGAAAAGTATAGATTAACGAATCTCAATTGTGCAATGCCTAGCGAATGCGGTTTCGTAGGCAGATGCTGATAAACAATATGGTACGGATGTAAATGAGAGGCCAATGTATTTTCAATTTCGCCCAAAAACTAGTCTGTGCAGCACACAACAAAAATTCATTTAATATCGATCTAATATTTACTATGTATACATGGTACATTAATCCTCTTATCGCGCCGTCTGCGATCTACCTCTCTGGTTTGTTGTTGTATTTGATGATGTTATACCGCTGGTAACTGCGGCATTCATATTTTTGGAACAGCGAATGCAGATGTAATCGTCATCTGCTTTGATTTGGCTACGGTTAAGACCGACACAGTACATATGGAACCATTCATTGCAACCACCGTCACACTGAACCCAGTCCACTTCGCGACCTGTTGGTTTGTGACAATTTTCCGCACGGCACTCTTCCTCGTCGTCCTCTTGCTGGACAGTTTGTGATCTTTGAGAGTTTTTCTTTTGACTTGCAGATCCCGAACTGTTGTTGCTTGTATTGTTATTTCCTACCCGTTTTCTGTGCTTTTTCTGTGAACCGGGAGCTAAGCTATTTGATTGCGAACCACCATTTGCTTGTTTGGTGGGCGTAAAGTTTTCAGAATTTTCTTCAGACATCTTTGAAGTGGCATCGGATTTTCTGGCGGATTTTTTAGCTGACGTATTATTGGAGGCAGACACCGATTGTTTGCTTGGGGTGACAATTTTTTTTCGTGGAACCGGACATCCTGTTGCTGGGTCAAGAGACCGTCGCTTCTTTACAGAGGTGCTAGAATTTCGTCCATTACCACTGTTACTGGTACTATTGGGACTACTCTGTACAAGCAGACTATCGTTGGAATCTTCCGCTGCGGAATTGACACTGGAAGGCGGTTTGGGTTGGTTATGATTTTGTTGTTTTAACATAGATTGATGCTGCTCCACCAAAATAGCTGCTTCCGAGTTACTGGAAGGTTGAACTGCCGATAGTACACGCCAAAGCTCTTGCGATTCATCGAGTGATACTTCTAGAAGGTCACCTTCCATCATAAGTTCATCCAAGTTGTCGGTTTCACTGTCTGACAATAATTTTTGGAAGCGGTGTCCATTATTCGAGTTTGCGGCATCGTCAATTTGAAGTGATTCTTCTTCTTCGTCGTCGTTGCTGAAATTCTCCTCGACAATATGAAGACGGTACTCGTCATCCGAGTCGGCATTGTCCGAACCGTCGTCCTTTGAATTTCGTTGACTACTTCGTCTTTGTTTGCGATCTGCGCCGGCCAATTTTCCCGTCTTACGTTTCTTCTGTTTACAGCGTGGTTGGGAAGCAGATGTAATAACCTCTATGGCAGCTACTACATCAGGACAGGCCAGGGCTTTACGTGCTCGGTCTTGCCAGTTCATGGCCCTTTCTGCGAGACAGCGCAGAGCTTCGTCCTCTGGTAAACGTATGGGGAGAGTTTGCAAAGATACCAGCAGTGGTAAAATTGTCTCAAGCCGAGGTCTTTTAGAGCGTACACACGATGGACATAACCATTTCGGTCTCTGACCTTCTTCTGCTTGGCAAAAGACACGGGCGGCCGGCGGTGGAACACAGTCCTCGTGAAACCAATCTCTACATAATTGACAATTAAACATAACACCCTGAAAGGATGATTTGCAAAGGCAATATTCGTCACGGGTTGGTTTTTTGTTCATGTTAAGTCTTCTCAGTTCTCTCATGTCACGCAATTCCTTCTCTTCTGCTGATTTGAAGGAATCAACAATTTGAGCTGGGTTCATTTCTTTCACGAAATTATCTTCAAATGGTTTCTTTAGATCACAATCGATTATAACTGGCTCTGACCTGGGCATAAGCACTTCCAGTAATGTGTAAAACGTATTTCTTTTCAAGAATGCTCTCTCTGTATTTTCCTTCCAGTCATGTGCACTCTTTAGATGTCCCTGCATGCGCAGAAGCTCTTCCAGTTTTATGGGAATAGTGGAACCCCGAGCAACAATGGCTTCGAGTGTGTGACAATATGGAAAGTGATCGTTGGCTTGTAACTGCTCTACAGACCGTAGCCAATCTTTTGCCTTCTTCAGTCCGTCCTTCAGAACACCGTACGATGGGACTTGGCCCTCAATCTCGGAAGCAGTCTTCAGAAATTGTTCAATTTCGTCCAACTCGTGTCGCTGTATATTGCAATTGAAATACTTGTTTGCTTGACATTCCCAAGCTTCGATCGAGGCACCTATTTCCTGCAACTTTCTAATCTCCTTATCTATAACAGGTTCGGTAGGTTCAATTTCGGCCACGTTCAGTAATGCTTTTATATCTTCGTAGGTAAGTTTACCACTTCCTGCACGAAGTCCCTGTGAACGCCTGTACCATTTAAGTTGTCGGAGTCGCATGTTTAATTGTTGAATCTGAGGTAGCTCTATGCGTAAGGAATTCCCTTCCCCAATTATTGCTTCCAACTCGGACTCCTCCACAGATTCTAGAGGTACTTTCAAAATCTCAGAAGTACGCTCCAAAAAGTTTTTACCCAAAACCAGCAACTCACGAACTGAGGCACCTTCGTCTATTGTGCAGCAGAGATTATCGATTTCTTGCACAAAAAGCTCAAGCTCCTCCATGGTTAATTTGTACTGCGCTGCTTCTAAATTATTATCCGAACGTGTTCGAACCTGAAAGCACAAACGACAATTAGAAACAAATTATCTTTATCGCATACATTAATTCATACTCACTTTATTAATTCCCAATTGCTGGATAACCGTCACACACTTCTCTGCTTCTAACACGGCGGCGTTTAGGCGATCAATAAGTAGGGATGATGGAAATTTCTTGACTTCCGCTTCTTTGCAGAGTTCTTGCAACTCCTGCAGGGTTACTGACGTCGGAGTGTTTGCATCCACGATATCCCGGCAACGGGACAGCCACCTCTCGAAGCTTTGAGCTTTCGATTTTAATTTTTGCAGCATTAATGGCATTTCGTCCAGTGTATAGCGATACAAAAGTGTATGTTTTTCGGGAGGACAAGTACACAAAACAGTGTAATGTCGCAGACACACGATCCCTTTTGTGCATTCACATGACACAGCAGAAAGGAAGCAAGTGGTATTGCACTCTTGGCAATGGCGTTCATCATCAGGAATGAGCTCAAAGGCTTTACGTTCGGCACGTGTGACTCCCCATTCAAGTAGGGATTTGCGTAACTTCTTTTCCGAATCCACCATCTCCGCCATATCTATGTAGCAAGCGGTGGCTATGCCAAATGTAAGTTTTGCAGGCTCCAGTGCCATCTTACAGACCAACTCATCGTGGGAAAACACACAAAACCTGCGCAACATTGAATAGTGGTTGATGCATTCACGCCCCATCTTTAGCCAATCTGCGGGTGCAAAGTTGACAGCTTCCGCAAAGTTGTAGCCTTGATTAAAACCAGCGTGGTAGGCGCGGGGAAACGTTATCACAAACTCTCCGGCATTTTGATCTGTCCGGTACACCGGAACACGGTTATTCATCAATATATTGGGATTCATTATTGTAACCAATTGGTGAAGCAAGTCTGGCTGCGATGCAAACAATTCGGGGGCCGCTTGTTTCATAGTTTCTTCGAATTGTTCTGCACAACTACCAGGCACTCCGTACCATGTCTTTGGCTCGCCCCAATGCAAATAGTTTATCGAATAGCTCCAGTGATCTTCGTTATGCCAACAGAATGCTGCAAAGCACATTCCCACATACATCCACGGAGCATTCATTCCACTTATGTCCGCGTTAATATGACCGAGAATTGAATCTTCGAGCAGTGGCAAATTGTTTAAGTTCCAACTAGATTCGGCATATTCCTGATCACCTGGCAACAAATACAATGAGCTTTTTGTGGGAAATCCGGAACCGTGATCCATTGTATGCAGGTCGGCTCCATATTCAACTGTAACATCTTCGTCAATTGAAGACACAATGCGCCAAAATTCGCGTTCCACCAAATCCGTGGGAACCAAATGGACGGGCTTTCGAAAATAGTCCATTTTGAACTGATCGGCCATTTGTCCAAATTGCTGTAGTGTATATTCTCGTTCTGCCTGTTCGAATCCAAACGCCTCAGTGGGTTTACTTACTTCCTCAACAACGCAACGTGGACAAAGCCATTCTCCTAAAAAAAGAAACGTAATGATGATACAGGGCCTCGATATGTGTTAGGAAAATAAATTTGATAAACTAGTCAAGGGAATTCGAAGTGACTTAAAATCGACTTCTCATTTGTGCATAGAATTTTCATCGTTTTAAAACGAATATTTATCAAATATTTTAGTCGGAAATCACTTCAATTTATAAGTATATGTTTTACAAAAATATTATATTTCGATAGATTTGAGGTTTATTTGAAAGTGATTGTATATAGTCCCTATATAAACAACTGTAGTATCTACATATATTATATAACAAATGTACAATATGAATGATTTCAAACCTTTTGGTATGCTCGATAGAGGCGGCAATAGGCAGAATGTATGATATGAATCATCACAGCCGTCACAAAGGAGCATGGATTCCTCCACATCTCCTCGATTGCAGATGTGACAAATGTATTTCATAAGAGGATCCACAGCTGCATTGGGATCGGGAGCCTTTTTCTGGGCAGAAACTCCATTTCCTGCGTTTGAACGACCTACTGCTGAAGCTGCCGAGGCATTGAAGCAGTTCATTAGGTCTCGTTTAAAATCTTCTTTTGTTTCAGTTTTAACTGATGTCCGATTGGATCCGAGTCCACAACTGGCATTTGAATTGGCGAAACGTTTAGAGCGCCTGGCATTGTTTTCATTGGGTGGTGCTATCTGCTGGCGAGTTGGAATTTCATGAGCTTTATAATCCGTACCATCTTCCATCTTCACGTCGGCTGCTGTAGATGAACCAGTTACAGATTGGCCAAGAACTTTTCCCGATGTATACACTTCAAACGGATGAAGTATGCGCTCGTAGTGCGCTTTTAATGTGGCACCAACGCTTTTGCTCGATGGGTATGACATTCGGTTAGCTACTTTGGCCCATTTCCGTTCCCTGGTTGTTTGTTCCATGCCACCTTCTTCCTGGACCATGCGGTGTAACGTGTACAAATCTAATGCCTTCCTTTCGACCATGGGAATCTTTAGAGAAGAGCCTTGCAGTTCCCAAAACTTTGCTATCTGGTCCAAAAAATTCAATTTTACACGTGTTTTTGCCTCGAGCTCATTTAGACGCTGAACACGAGGAGTAAACTTGAGTTTATCCACATCGACGGCGAATGGTGGAGACCAAGATTCTGGTGGCAAGATTTTTGCAATACCACATTTCTCAGCTATTGGACGTATCTTACTTATATAAGCCAAGGGATTTTTAAATTCCTCCGGAGTAGGTCGGAAAACTGGACACTCATGTGGTGTATCAAAATGAAATTCTTCAGTTTTATTCATATTGAATGTACTCGAACTATGCGGCTGAGAATGGTTCTTTTCCTTCCGTCCGGAGCTAGTCGGCTGGGGACAGCTACTGTGGTATTTTTTGCTGGCACTAGATTTTTCTTCATTGCTGCTTACCGTCGGTCCAGCACTTGTATCTGAATTTAGTCCTTGTTTCTTCTGAGCAGATTCACTGCCACTTACATTACCACCGGTCGATGTTCTTGCTCGAAGTCGCCTGGCTGGTGTAGTAGTACCATTAGTATTTGCCGATGCCGAAGCTGTTGTAGCTGGACTACTAGACGTGCTGCTACTGTTACTATCAGCATTGGCGGTGATTTTTGTCGACATTTTCAATGATATTTAAATATTTTAGACTAAAAAGAGAATACAATTCCATTATATTAAAATTTAGTATCATTATTTTTTTAATTATAAATGTCTGGTTTTATTCGTAGGAAGACAATCAAACATGTATGTAAATACATGGTACAATTATAAAAGATAACTGCGAAACTACAACAAATACTACTCAACAACAACCACATAGAAAATTCATTAAAGTCGGTCTGTCGGTCTGCATACTCGATATTTTGAAACAATTTGTACAAAATTTGGTCCTTTTACCTAAAACTTCACAAAAGACGTTAAATGTTACAGGAAGATTTTACTCAGTAAAGTTGTTACGAACAAAAAAGACAATGGATATGATTGTTAACTCATGTGTTTTTTAACAAATTTAAAAAATAAAAAAATAATATATATATATATATACTTTACTAAATTGTTATTATAGGACTTTTCCCACAGTATTGCATAAAAATTTCATTTTTTTCGATTACGGGAAAACCTTCGTGTTTGTTCCTAAGGGCGGCATCGATAAAAATTTCATAATTACATATATTATTTTAACATTTTAAATTCTAAAATATTCTTCTGTTAGTGAAAGCTTTTAAGATTTTTTTTTTTTTTTGTGTCTTAAGAAACTTGAGCTGTCGGAACAACTCTAGTTTAGTAAAAACGATCAAATTTTTCTGAAATTTTTTCCAGAGGTAGGTATTTTTACCCTAATTATGGGGATATATTTTTTTCTTGGGGGACGTACCCGGTTACCCGGTTATTTGACCCGGAAGTTCGGGTACGGGTACCCGGTTATATCCGGTTCTACGGATCCGGTTAATATAATATGGGTATAATTTTAAAGGTTATAAAAATACCTTTCCATTGAGTGGTAATATGATGGGGTTATCTCAAACCATTTTGGGGATATAGTCAAAAAACTGGGTTTTGGTCCCCGATTTTTTTGAAAAACTCCCTGAAAGTCGAACTTGGGTCCATTATAGTCCCTCTCTAAACAGTACCCAAATGATAGACCACAATTTGCCCTTTCCAAAATGGTGCGATATGTGGCTGTATCTGTTGTGGATCAAAAGATATGGGCCTTAGAACCCTATAAAACAAGGAAAATCTTTCTACATGACAGAATCTCCTTTTAAATAGCATGGTGTTTTTTGGGTGACCGGCCTTCGGCCGGGGATTTAAGACTTTCTCCTATGGACAGATGCCAACACCGGCTAACGCGGCAGAAAATCCTTCTAAATAGAATAATTTTTTGTGTAGCCGGCCTTCGGCCGGGGATTTAAGACTTTCTCCTATGGACAGCTACCAACACCGGCTACGCGACAGAATCTCTTGTTAAATGGAATATTTTTTTGGGTGACCGGCCTTCGGCCGGGGATTTAAGACTTTCTCCTATGGACAGATGCCAACACCGGCTAACGCGGCAGAAAATCCTTCTAAATAGAATATTTTTTGTGTAGCCGGCCTTCGGCCGGGGATTTAAGGCTTTCTCCTGTGGACAGATACCAACACCGGCTACGCGACAGAATTTTCTTGTTTTTGTAGGGTTCTAAGGCCCATATCTTTTGATCCACAACAGATACAGCCACATATCGCACCATTTTGGAAAGGGCAAATTGTGATCTATCATTTGAGTTTGGGTTAGAGAGGTACTATAATGGGCCCAAGTTCGACTTTTAGGGAGTTTTTCAAAAAAATCGGGGACCAAAACCCAGTTTTTTGACTATATCTCCAAAATGGTTTGAGATAACCTCATCATATTACCACTCAATGGAAAGGTATTTTTATAACCTTTAAAATGATACCCATATTATATTAACCGGATCCGTAGAACCGGATATAACCGGGTACCCGTACCCGAACTTCCGGGTCAAATAACCGGGTAACCGGGTACGTCCCCCAAGAAAAAAAGATATCCCCATAATTAGGGTAAAAATACCTACCTCTGGAAAAATTTTCAGAAAAATCTGATCGTTTTTACTAAACTAGAGTTAAGCCGAGCTGTCTCTAGTGGTAAAAGAACCACTTTAATAAAAACATAAATTTATGCCTAATAGAAGAACTTAGATTGATGACATTTTACACAGAGATATATCGCTGGCTTAACTTGTAAAGGCGGAAGTCCATATTTCACAATTTTTCAGGAGAGACAAAAAACAATCAAACTTTCTTTTAAATAAAGATTTTTTAAATCTTTCATTTTGCCTTTAATTGAGTAAAGGCAAAATGAAAAATAAACGTGGACTTACAGCCTTTACATGATGTTAAGCCAGCGACAACAATAACAAATGAGATAACTCTATTTTTATTTTTTTAGATCGATGTATTTTGCCTCTTTATACATAACTGTATCAAAATCTCAATTTCTCGAAATTGGAAGGCTCCGCATCACTAAATGACTACACAATTAAATAAAATTTCACTTTTTGTCATAAGCGGCATGTACGTGAAAAAAATCATTTTTCTGATCTACTCAAGAGGAAAATGTAAAACAAATTTGTTGAGAAGGTAGAAAATAATTTTTGACAAGTTCTTGAACATAAATCAGGAATAAATATAACGCCGATGTTGCCACGAAACAAAAAATTTCTTTAACGAATTTCGAAACAAAATTGTCTCTCTTCGTCTAATCACATATTACGTCATAATAATAGTTATGCTTCCTAAATAAATATGTTCATGTGGTAGATATTTTCTTTTTATCTGCCTATAAACGGAATAATACAATAATATGTCTGTCTATCTGCTACAAGCACTGACAATTTGCTGGTAAACCAAAATTTGTACCAAACATTTCCACATAAACATAAATAAACAACTAATTTATTAAGCAAATTGTAATTTATTTCCAAGCATCCAATTGAAGCCTTTGCAATTTAACCACCCCAAATTAAACGTTTATAGTTATCCGGCATGGTTCAATGAAATGTGTAGTATGCATCCATATTGAGGTCGAAAAATTAGAAATATAAATATTGAAAACAATTTTATGTTTCTACTGTCTTACAATTACATACATTACGATTTGCCACTTCATTTTTACCACTTTTTTTTTGCACAATACATTTCATAGTGAATACAAAAAGAAAACTCCGCACAAAACACGAAATGAACGTATGCATGCATATAATCTCACAGAGGCTAAATATCGATTAATTGTAATATTAACCGTACAATGGCAACACTTTTTGCTAGATGTCCAAACAACCCCCCACTGTGTTTCGAATGGGAAAAAAGCATAGACTGTTCATTTTGTCCTCCAGGAAGGAACCAAGTCGGATGGAGGAATACCATAAAAAGTTGTCGCAATTCTCCGTTTTGGTTAGCAAACTCCAACCAACCAGCAAAGCAATAATTTAATATACAAAACAAAAACACTTACACGCTGTTAGTTAGTTACATATAAAGCCCAACTCTATTCAAAATAATACACACGCAATTACTCACACAGCCACTAATACACCAAAGACAAATACGAACGAACACATTCAATCACCATCATAATTCACTTCTTGTATACGGACGTACGTATGTGTATATACATACATATGTACAAGTTTATACATAGCTGCGAAGTACATAAAAACAGCACACACATATATATATACGTATATATTCAACATTCGTGTATGTTTTCTCTATTCACAATATTTAATTAGTTCCGAACCTATGGAATATCCAACCAGCCGTCGCAATGGCCTAATGTATAAAATTTGAAAAAAAAAAAAAAAACAGACACACACACAAATTTCACTTACCCGAGTCAATGATGCTTTCTTCTTAATCCTGTGAAAAGTTCAACCAGGTTTTCACTAAATTCAAAAATATATATATATATATTGTCTCTTTTGTTGTTTTTGTTCATTCACAAAATTCTGAGTACAGTATGTTTTGCATAATATATGTGCATATTGTTTGGACAAAAGTACATTTAATTTTTTGTATGTGATGGGCACGGAACAATTAAACGTGGATCATATGCCCATCTAGTTGCCCAATTCATTCGGAACAGAATTTGAGTTCAATGTGTCTACTCTTTCTATTGTAGGAAAAATTTATTTTGTCACTTTGCCGTAAGTGTGCTTTTTACAAAGTTCGCTTGGTTTATTGCTACTGTATTTTCACTTGTTTCTTTCATATATCGCCTCAAGAAGATGAATGGCCTTTACACATCATATTTACAGGCGTCGAGATTTTTGTTTCAATTTCTCCTTGTACTTTGAAGTGGCCATTATAAAAATAATCCTCTTGTATAGAAACAGGGGACAAGGAATATATTGTGCGTAAACAACTTTTACAAATTACTGATCCTGTTTTGGCCCAAATGTTTTCCAGACGGTGAAAATAATTTTGCCACAGCCAAGACCTTTCAAATCTCGTCCAAAATCGTACTTCACTAGCAAATCTTATGCGATAAAAACTGTCTATAAATATTTCACTTCTAAATGCAGACGTTGGTTGCTTCACTTTTATGGTTATATATTCTTCGAGATAGATTTTAATTTTTGTGCAAAGTTGCAAAGATTTCAGATTTCACACGACGTACTTGTACTTGCTTACTTCGATGGTCGAGAATTGTGAGACTAAAGTAATTGGTACCACAGCATAGGGTATCTGGTACGATAGTACAATGGGATTCAGGGTTGTTTTTACTTTATCGGGAAGGGAAGTAACCGCATGTCTGCAATTGAGAAAAAAAATATCATGTTTACACTAACGTTGTTCGCTCCATCTGCCGTTGTCCTACAATGAATTATGAAATTACAATTTTATTATGTACATCGAAAATAAGCACAACATCCTTCATGATAAAAAATTATCTATAAAAAATCTACTTACTGGATGCATTTGTAAGGAAAAAACACAATTGTAAGGAAAAACACAATTTATAAAGTAAAAATCGAAAACAATTTCGATTAATTGCAGATTCTTAGAGGAAATTGGTCTGTTCCCGTACAGCAAGAATGTACTGGTTTTTAATTTTTATACAAGAATTTACTATTTTTTACTACGATAATGATATCGAAGAAAATAGTAAAATCTAGTAGATTCTTGCAGTACGGGAACAGACCAATTATGTAATAATAATGCCATTAGTTTGTTCCCCAAATGCAATAATCAAATAGTTTTTTCTATGATAACATTTTTTCCTTAATCATATCAAAAAATAGCAGATTTCTTGGAGTACGAGAACTGACCACATATAATCGTAATAATTGTATTATGTAATAATAATTATGTAATAATAATGCCATTAGTTTGTTCCCCAACTGCAATAATCAAATAGTTTTTTCTATGATAACATTTTTTCCTTAATCATATCAAAAAATAGCAGATTTCTTGGAGTACGAGAACTGACCACATATAATCGTAATAATTGTATTATGTAATAATAATGCCATTAGTTTGTTCCCCAACTGCAATAATCAAATAGTTTTTTCTATGATAACATTTTTTCCTTAATCATATCAAAAAATAGCAGATTTCTTGGAGTACGAGAACTGACCACATATAATCGTAATAATTGTATCATGTACCTAAAACACACGCCTCAAGTGCAAACGCATTCGACGTTTTTCATAGTTGTTGCCGTGTACTTGGTAATCGAATGTGGTGGCCATTCGTATGAGTATCCGCTATTTGGTAATTATATTTTCGTGCTGAAAATAATGGATAATAGCAATAGCAAGCTAGATATATTTCAACCGAATGAATCGTGACGGGAAGTAAAGTTGGCCGCTTTGGTTTTTACGGAGTTTTTGCTCCCGTTGCAAGTGGTTTTATACATATAGCCGTCAGAATTTACGTTAACAGTACAAAATAGTTGTTGTCATAATATGGGCCAACAAGTCTCTCGGACTGACTTCGAGTGGGTGTACACTGAAGAGCCGCACGCCTCTCGTCGAAAAATAATTCTTGAGAAATACCCGCAAATAAAGAAACTTTATGGCTGTGATCCGAAATTTAAGTGGATTGCTGGCAGCATGGTGCTGATACAGATACTGTCGTTGTTTATTGTGAAAGACTTTTCCTGGCCGATGCTGCTTGTAACGGCGTATTGCTTCGGAGGTGTAATTAACCACTCTCTAATGCTGGCAGTTCATGAAATTTCGCACAACTTGGCATTTGGATTTAGCCGGCCCATGTATAATCGCATATTAGGATTTATATGCAATCTACCCATTGGACTGCCTATGTCCATATCATTTCGAAAGTACCATTTGGAGCATCACAGGTAATGCATGAGTTGCGGTAAATCGAAAGGGCGTTGTCAAGAGCTTACTTCGGACATGGGAGTGTTAGTCTACGTGTTTGTTGGTTAATTGACGTTAGTGAACGATTTGTTTACGGATCTCCCCCAGTCCAATTGCATGGCGTAGTTTCTTTTAAACGTGTTAAAGCATATATTGTTGTTTTAATTCCGTTTCACAATAATCGGAAAGGGGGCCATGTTTTATTTAGAACTAGACGTCATAGGATATGCCGGTAGGGATAGTTCCTCTTGTCCCATCACTCATTAGTAGATCAAAAATTCACAAGTATGACGTCATCGTCTGGTTTCGTTTAGAATCGCATTCATATGACACCATTGTAAGGCCTTTTATTTACTTACTTTGAACTCCCAATTATATAAAACTTAAAAATACAGAAGTCTGAAATCTTATCTATACTGGCTAGAAGAAATCGTAAATCGAGTACCTTGTTGATTGCGCGATATAATTAGTACACAAGAAGAGCAGTATCACGTACACAATTTGTACAATAAGCGCCAAAAAGACGCAAACTATTCATACATAGATATATTAAATCAATGGTAATTTATTGGATCGCACACCAAATAATAATCAAAAATATTGTATAATATGTTACCACGTGAGACGTAAAATCAATTTCTGTGTAAAATTTGAATAAATTGAGTTTATTTAGCATTAATATATTAAAAAAAGTAATGACCGTCTCAATTGTATGTTTCTTATTAGTCAGACAATTTGTTGACGCTGCGTGTATAAACACACTCCATTCTATGCATTGTTGTATTTAATAAATACAAACGACATTAATTAGAACGCCACTAAGATAAGTATTGATGTATAGTCGGCCCATATTATATCGGTGATGGGTAATATTGATAAATGTATTTTGGTGAACGGTGAAGATTAATTCTAAGCAAAAACAATATCACACATCGATTAGCTTTGCAGACTAAAATTTAATTTTGATATATAAAATCTTATTTTGATATATAAAATCTTATCTTCGAATGACGATGCTATTTGTTTTTCATGCTTAATACAAAATACATATACATAAATAAAAAAATAAAATATATTCATTTTGTTTATTTGTAGGTATCAAGGAAATGAGGTGGTCGATACGGATATTCCAACATTGGTGGAAGCTAAACTATTCGATACCACATTCGGAAAGTTTCTGTGGGTTTGTCTACAGCCATTCTTTTACATATTCCGACCACTCATAATAAACCCAAAACCTCCGACACGATTGGAAATTGTTAATACAGCAATACAACTAATTTTCAATGCTTTGGTTGTTTACTACTTCGGTTGGAAAGCAATGGCGTACCTCGTACTAGGTTCAATTTTGGCTATGGGCTTACATCCAGTAGCTGGCCACTTTATTTCCGAACATTACATGTTTGCGAAAGGCTTTGAAACATATTCGTATTATGGTCCTCTAAATTGGATAACTTTTAATGTTGGTTATCACAATGAACATCACGATTTTCCCGCTGTTCCCGGCTCGCGTCTGCCTGAAGTCAAGAAAATCGCCCCTGAATTCTATGACACGATGCCCCAACATACCAGTTGGGTTCGCGTGTTGTACGATTTTATTATGGACCCTTCTATTGGACCATATGCCCGGGTGAAACGCCATCAAACAGGCCTCAGAACGTAAACATCAACAGTAGTGATATAAGAATTCGCATAAATAGAACTTTAGCACTTAAGCAGAAAAGGTAAAAAATCTCATCATATTTTTACAACAAATGTGCTATAATTTTGCCTTAAAAGCCACACCAAAAACTTTATGTTACATTAAATGTAATGCGACATGCAAACACGTCTGTCATATATTCTTATATAAACATAAAAAATGTAAAGGAAAATCATACATTTTGACAAGAAAATCGTTCCTACTTTATTCAATATATGCGAAAGAAATTAATCACTAATGTTTATATTGTATATCATATGAATAATCCGGAAGATTCGCTTAAACTATACACTAACCTACTAATTGTAAATGGAGAACAATGTACCTCATAAATAATTGTGTAAAATAATATATGTATGTATTTACGTGCATATGAAAAAGCCAATAAAAATCTTACTATAAATATATTTTAGCATCATTTATTTGAATGTTATTCAGGGTAATAAGTGCGCCGTACAAGATCCCATTACTTTTCAATTTTTGTTCGATGATTTCCTTTACAAATTTGAAAAGTTTGTGTTCCCAATCCCTTGACCCGGTGAGATCTCAAGCTGTTTATAAAATATGCTCTCTTTAAAGTAGCATTTAGTTATTGAGACATGGCGATTGATTCCTTGAAGTAACAACCATTATTTGCTGTTATAAGATAATCTATAACTAAGCAATTGTATTTTCTATACATGCAATATAATGCATTGCATGCCACTAATTATAATAATGTAGGAAATAAGCACAAACAGTCTAAATGACATGGCTACAACAAATGAATGCTAAACATGAGTATTATATATACAGTAAAATCTTGCACATTATATTACCCGGATTGTGGCATGACTCGAAACCACAATTCGAATTGTGAACATGTCTGTTTTCCCATAAAATTTTTTACAAGGGGTATTTCCAAAAAATTATGTTATATGAGCTAAACATTTAGGACACGCATATCGGCATTTTAAAAGTTTACTTCGGGAGGTAAACAAAAAAAGGGGGCTGTCAATATTTCCTCTTTCCAAGGCATTTAAAAATATACGTATTAAGATTTCTCGAAATCCTTGCATTTTAAGTATACGATATCCTTTTCAATATTACTAGTTCGCTATAACCGTACTCGACTGTATTTAAATTCAATATTTTTTTTAGAAATATACACTATAAAATTAAAAATATTGAGTCTTTCGTTAGAAAAAAAATATTCTACATCGATTTTTACTATTAGTTACCAAAGAAAAGATTTTTGTAGACGAGATATTTTTTTTGTAAAAAATTACCTCTAATTTGGGAATAGGGTAAACGCACCTAATTCCGGCATGTACCAATAGTCCGCATCTATTTTATATAACTTCAAATAACTAACATATATTATAACTAAATATGAAAAATACCTTGACTAATCCTCAATAACACTGCAATCTATCTCTGTATAAAATTAAATCGAGCTATGTACATCTATTCAGTCAAAATTTGGCAGTTGGTCAATGAGGATCGTCAACACTAGCGATAATTCATGTTTCTTAAGAAAAAATTAGTGGGCATGTCAATTTCAAAAGACTTGTAATTATATTAAAATTATATATTTTTACAAGGATCTTCTTCGTAATTGTAAAGAACATAATGGAGAATACTTTAGAATTTAAAATCATTAAAAAATATCGACGCCTCCGAACCATAGTATGCTAAGTCTGAAAAGTAAGTTTTTCAGTAGAAGCTCTCAATGTATGGAAGTTTCTTATATCTTACGTGCCATGCTAAGTACACTTTTGCTTATAACTTTGGTTTAGATTGGCCGATGATTACCAAAATTTCAGAGAATTTAAATTAAGGACCGTAGTATCTAAAAACGCAAAGAACTTTAAAGCATGCTAAGTCGACTTAGCATACTATGGTTCGGAGGCGTCGATATTTGTAATTATTGGTCTGTTCCCGTACTGCAAGAATCTAGTATTTTTTACTACGATAACACTTTTTTCCTTTATGATATCGAAAAAAATAATAATAAAAACTGGTAGATTCTTGCAGTATGGGAACATACCATATGATATTTTTATCAATGCCATCCTTAGGAACAACATTTTTTAAGGTTTCCTATAGTCGGCATATGGGTGAATAATAAGCACCTTTCGATCATTTTGGCTCAAAATTGGAAAAATGTTAAATAAGTGCTCTAAATAACAATTGATTTATAAAAAATCAGTTTTGTGTGGTTTTACATAATGGAAGACATTGTTTTAATCTTACATTTTTTAACCTCTGTAATGTCTTTTTTAGCAATGGCGAGAATTGGATAACAAGTTCCCAAAGTCTGCATCACGTTTTATATTTGTAATATTTTAAAAAATAGTATTATTTTATACAACTTTTTCAATACAACACTGATGGAAACGTTCCATAGTAATAATTTATTATTGCAAATAGCAGAAAAATCGATTAAATATATAAATTTTGCAAAATTTCAAGTTAAAATCTCAAGAACTCTTGAAGATATAGCCGATTTATTGTGTCAGCATCAAGTGACGGCTAAAGGGCTTCTCAAACTTTAAACGCGTTTTTCTCTAAACATTTTTTTTGCGAATGGCGGGCACGATAACTCAAAAACTAATAATCCACGTTTTTACACGTTTCTCTGTGATTGTATAGCTATCGTATGAACTAGGATAAAGCCAATCGGTGAAGATCTTCCTTATTTTTTAGCCATTTTGTTAATTTTAGAGCGAGGTCAATAATCCTAGTTCATACGAGAGCCAGACATGTACTCTTTCCAACACCGTTGGAATTTTCGGATTCCGATGTTCCAGTGAGGAGTTATCATGCCCGCCATCAAAAATAAGGACTTTTCTTTGATCACAAAAAACAACAACAAAACAACAACAAAAATTTTTTGTAAATTATTTTTCTTCTATTTTAAATCTTCAAATATATATGTGCAAAGTTACAAACCTTAACAAGCATTGGTATTCATTTACCAGCCCATTTAAAATCTTAAAAATAAAAAATCGAGAATGGGGGGGGGGTTCCCTTAAACATAATTTTACTAGACGTCTTGGACCATGTTCAAAGCTGCGCCTTAAGTATGTGTTCGTATGTGACATTTCATTTCATACCTAGCAAGGTATATTTAATAAGGTAGCCGCATCGGCCCAGCTGTTGGTGCAAATAAATGACAAAAATGTTGTTGTATTGTTGAACCAAAAATTAAAAACATTTATAAATGAAAATCTCCGAATTTCGAAGAGCTTTTTTGGCAATACTTTTAATAACTTTTTCTACAAGAAGTTGTGTAAAACAATCTTGTCAATCTGTTTGTTTTGGCAAAATATTTTTGACATACCAAAATACAACAACCGATGTTTGTTGTAGAAATTCGCCGATGAGGCTACCTTGTATATCTACCTTGATACCTAGTAACGCATAAGCCGAATACAGCCAAACATTTAAAAAAAAAAAAATTATAATATTTTTTTTTATTGTAGTTAATATACTAAAGAAATTACCATAATTATGTTTGAAATGATTGTTGGAATGCAAAAACAAATGTGTAATGAAAATATAAATACCAAGGTAGATTAATAAGGTAACCGAAATTTAAACGGAGATATGGAGGGACATTTGATTAGCCAAAAATGTTCGGAAAATGTTCGATTTATTATAATATTAAAATGCAAATTACAGTTACTTCCGTTGACTTTTCTAAAATGTAGACCAATATGTCCCATTCTACTAGAAGTTATGTCATTTGTAGAAAGAAATATGTTATGAGCAAAGTAACGTTTTTTATGAGCCAGGCTCAATTTGGTCCGCTGAAAAAAATTTCGTCTCAGTCAGACAAACATTGGGACTTTGGTGGAATATTAATAAAATAGGAAGAAACTATATATGGGGGCTATATCTAAATCTAAACCTCCATTCAGCCATTTCAATAAGGCCCGTCCCTGGATCAAATATATGAGCTGTACCAAATTTCTTCCAATTCGGATCATAAATGACCTGTATCTGGTGTTTCCAGTTGCAGAAACTTAAATGCTTCTAATTGTTGGGGATCCCAGTGGTAGAAAATTCCGTGAAAATGTTTCTTAGGGATATCGGAACCTCTTAAGTTATATCTTTGCCAGCGTCTTAAAGTGTTTGATTACTTTTCTACATTTTGACACTGATTGACCAAATATCGTAATTCGTTTTGTTGTATCTTCTACAAAACTGCACGCATCAAGACCTTAGTTTGAAATGACCATATCCATATATCCGAGGGCACCAACTTTATTGCATTTAAGGCGCTGTTTTGGTATTTTTTTAATTAAGAAATCAGAAATTTACAGACACATTTACACAAAGTAAACAAATATTTTTGATATTTCAAAATGCCTAATTCTGATTGGTGGATGTAATTTGCTTCGAGTTTTGTACGTCACGGCGAAAAATATTACTATTCGCCTTGTAAACAAATTTGACATATCATGTTCCCAATACGCCGAGTCGGAAAATTTTTAAACTGTGATTTAATGAGCGCTGTCCAATTTTTTCGACGTAACCCATTTTTTACATTATAATTTATATTTATATTTTTTTTTTATGTAGCTACAATTTGATATGAATTAATCAATATTAAAAAGTTTTTATAATTTGGATTCACTAACATTCCCGCATCGTTACGTATCAAATGTATGTTCTCGTGCTCAACTCGTTAATTTTCGAACGTTAATTTGTTTGGGATGAAATGTATGTGGAACAAACTGCCAGTGCTACAGCGTACCTTCTCAAAGCCAGCGTATATATTAATTAAGAGATATACTGAATATCTGATGAATTAAATGTGAATTGAATTCGTTTTTCGTATTACAAGATTAGTCAAACATATTGTAATGTAACATTTTATGATGAATTCAGGTTATACGTTGCTATGTTTATCAGTTAACAATTGATAAAGTTGTTACATAATACAGTCAAGTACGGTAAAGCGAACGAGAAGGGACCTAGCCAATAAGTTCGTTATATCGAAGGTAAGGCAAAACATAGCATAGCAGAAAAATGTATTAAAGTACGAAAAATTGAACTTATTTTAAATGATACTTCTTCACATTAGATGTGGGATATCATTTATGAAAATATCATAAACAGTTGTCCAGAAACTAACGTCTCGTTTTCTTTGATGATCAGATATTCTTTATATTTCAATATAAAATGAACAGATGACATGCTTTGCAGATGTTACAGCAAATGGACTAGAAAGCCTGGTAACAAGTCTTTGAAGATAAATAATATAAATAAGTATGTTATCATTCATCCGTAATCCTAAGTCCACAAATCGTATTATTCTGTGAACGTTTTGTTGAAAATATCCCACTAATGCCTACCAACCTTACAAAAAAGAAACTCGAAAATTATTTATTCCTTCATTTATATAAAGTTTTGGGTGTTGGAATTTTCCCTTAGGTTTTATTTCTTTACAATTTTTATCCAGCGTATTATGATGGTGGTATAGTATGCGGCTGGCTTCAAGTTTGCTTTTAATATATTATTTTTTATATTTAAATATTTTGTTGCTGCTGTTGATCAAGGTTACGTTTAAATTAGATCAGCAATATTAGCGGGCATTTCTTCAATAGTTGTATGGTAAAATTGTTCAATATCTTTAAGGATTCTACGGTCTTCATCTGTAATAAAGTTGATGGCTACGCCTTTACGACCGAAACGGCCACCACGACCAATTCTGCCAATAGATGAAACAAAAGTGATTAGAATGTGTCTACAAATTTGAAAAGTTATGTTAAAAATACCTATGAATGTAATTTTCTCTATTTGATGGTAAGTCATAGTTAATAACCAACGACACTTGCTGTACATCGATACCACGAGCCAACAAATCGGTCGTAATTAAAACACGGGACGAACCAGAACGGAACTGCTTCATAATTAATTCACGATCCCTTTGCTCCATATCACCGTGCATAGCGGAGACAGTAAAGTTATGGGAGGTCATTTCTTCAGTCAATTGATCGACCTATAGAAAAAAAAATCGTAATGACGTTAAGGAATCATGTGATAAATAAAAATTGGTAACAATGAACACAACCAGTGAACCAAAATATTGGTGTCGTTAAACTGTACATATGAAGAAACATGAATATTCCCAACATTCTATGAAACTAGTTTACAAGTATAGCATTTTTTAATTTACATACCTTGCGTCTAGTGTTGCAGAATATAACCGACTGAGTAATAGAAAGGGTGTCGTATAAATCACACAAAGTTCCCAACTTCCAGTTCTCTTGTTTTACGTTGACATAAAACTGTTTGATACCTTCAAGCGTAAGTTCCTCCTTCTTGACCAAAATGCTTACAGGATCACGCATGAAACAGCGGCTTACTTCCAATACATCGGGAGGCATGGTGGCCGAAAGTAGAATGACTTGGACATCATTGGGAAGCATCTTGAATACATCTTGGATTTGATCTTTGAAACCGCGGGACAACATTTCATCAGCTTCGTCCAAAACGAACAACTTAATGCTATTTGTCCGCAATACCTTGCGATTAATCATATCGTACACACGACCGGGAGTGCCGACAACAACGTGGCAGCCAGCCTCCAAGTTCCGTGCGTCTTCACGCACATTTGTGCCGCCAATGCAGGCATGGGAATGAACTTTCATGTATTCGCCAAGCGCCATAACAACCCTTTGAATTTGGGTTGCCAATTCGCGAGTTGGAGCCAAAATCAATGCCTGGCAATCACGAATGGACGTATCGATTTGTTGCAAGATGGCGATCGAGAATGTTGCAGTTTTGCCGGTACCTTTTTGAATATTCCAAATTTACATTAAGTTGTCGAAACAATCATAAACGCCCCACTTTTACTTACCCGACTGAGCTTGAGCGATGACATCTCTACCCTTGACACAGGGAATAATGGCGCGTTGCTGGATAGCGGACGGCTTTTCGAAACCGTAACCATAAATACCACGCAAAAGTTCTTCGCGCAAATTCATGTCATCAAAGTTGTCGTAAACTTCATGCCAAGTGGACTCAATGACGCCCTCGGGTTCCATACCAGCGGGTCCTTCGTTAACATCACTTCGATCATCCCTTTAAAAGAGAAAAGACACATACACATTTAATCGACTCTGGCTGCACAGAAAATTTTCTCATTTTTACATTGTCAACTAAATTTGTGTTTATTTTGCAATTCTCGGTTGTATGATAAATTTTGCTTTGCACTTTGACAGTCGCTTCAATTTTTTCCCAAACTTTCTTAATTATTCGATGGCTTTTTTTCTGTAATTTTTTCTTCTACCAGCAGCGTTCAGCAATAAACCACCGCACCGCTGAATAATATGGTGCACTTTTACACTACTATTGCTAAACGAAATATGAACACTCATTTTCGGTTTTATCCCCTTCGTGCCTTGCCATTTTTTCACTCTGAGTCATTTTGAGTCATTTTACAACAACAATGTATTGTTCCAGCCACCGCATTCGCAATACATACATATACAAATTCAGCACAACACGGTGGTGGTAGTGGTGGTGGTGTTTTATACGACAGCAACAACAAAACAACGAGTACGAGGAAAAAGAGATAACAAAGGGAAAAGCGAAAACAACAGAGTTGTATTTTGGAAAATTGTGCGGCAAAAAGGGGGTAAAAACGACTTGGAAAAATATTTGTTTAGCTAGAGAAAAAATTACATTACTTTCATCATTGGTAATTTCTTTCACGAAGCCAGCCAGATACGCCAACATAATGTGAAACGTAAAGATGTGTCAACAAACATTACTGACAATTTTCCTGAAAACGGGGTGTGGTTGTTTTGTTTTTTTCTAATTTTAATCGCAATATTGTATGGCCCAAGCATTGGTTTTAGCAGAACATTGCTGGCAAAAATGTACTCATTAACATATAACTCATTCACGTATGCATTGGTGGTTTCGTGATGTATTCGTTTTTCACTGCTATACTTGCCGAACAACCACCATTTCAACGACACATTTTCTTTTTTTTAATATTTTGCACTTGAACACACTTATATGCCTAATTTCAATACTCCCGAACGCAGAATTTTATAAGCTATAATTTGTCACAGTTATATTAAATAAATAAACAAAATATACTAACATTTTTTTGAAAAATTATTTGGCACTGAGATACACGTGCAAAATTGGTTTGTTAAAGCAGCGAAAGGGCTCCATCTTGCCGAATTTCTGAATTCTTGCTCTTTTTTCTTTACAGCAACCAACTTTGCTGTGCACTTCCGGGTAGCAACTCTGTTCGTAAAAATCAACTCTGTTGTTAAAAATATATTTTTGTGGTTACTCCTAAAATTTTTAAATTTTTATTTGCAATTTTTAAATTAAATTTATGAAAATAAAAATAAAAAAATATTAGTAAAGTCAGCAATTTATTAGAATATGAGCAATAGACTTGGACAACCGTTATACATTATGGTGCGTTGTTTAGAAAATTATGAATTACCCTGTGTTTACAGGAGACAAGACAAATTTGTTTAAAATACTTAGTAAATTTAATATTACATATTTGCAAAAAACGGTGTTATTCTTGAAAAGGTTTGCAATAATTTTGGTATGTTCCCGTTCTGCAAGTATCTACTACTCTTTACTAATTCGAAGATTTTCATTTATAGTCCCACTTATTATTTTTTTATTAAATTACAAAAACAGTTTTGACATTTATTTGTATTGATTTTCAAGGTCAACAATCATCGTGCAATTATACAAGGTTAATGCAAACCCCGCTGACTTGATTCGAACACAATACCCATATGACATGCTTTTAAAAATGACACAACTAGAAATTATGCTTTATTAAATAATCTTCAAAATTCAGGTTATTCGATCTGCCTGTCTGCGTACTCTATAAAGACATAAAAGTATAAAGATACGACAATTGATACGTCGACAATTTCCAATAAATGGATTTTTTCTCTGCCGTTATGATATCATAATAAATTTCTTCCTATAAGATATATATTTTAAATATCTAACACTTTCATATAACCATATTTCGTCCTGAAGATGAAACATAAGATCAGCTCCTAAACCTGGTGTAGGGAGGATATAATAAAGACGTTTCCATTCGAAATATGTTAAAATTTTGGTGCAAAACAAGAAACAAAAAGTTAAAAAATATACTCTGATGACATTAATTAAGAATGTTGACATGAATTAACATAACAGAGGCGTGTTAAGAATAAAAACGCCAGTACGCGAATATGTGTGTATTAAATGTAAATAAAATCAGAGATCTGCACTCAAAATATATGTTTTCATTGTATAATCCTGCGATATTGTGCTTAAAATGTTTAAACTTGTCCGCTCTGTTGCTATGATATGTCCTGATTTATATTAGGCGAGTTTACTTGCGGCAATTTTTATCGTTCTCTTTTGAACTTGCTCCATGCGTCTATACAAGGCAATTCGGTTTCCAAAATATTTTTTTATTTGTTGTTTTTTCACATTTCACATCACAAAACGAATTGCCAGAAAATTGTCGGTACGAGCAATTTTTTTTCAATTCTATACCCCTTGCCCCTCTCTCCTACAAACAAAGACTTGCCGCAAGTAAACTCGCCTAATTTAAATCAAGACTATCATAACAACAGAGGAAAAGCCATATATTGAAAATTGTATTAATTGTCGAATCTTTAGTCCCAATTTAGATTAAAAAAAATTGAACCGAATTGCCTTGTATAGACGAATGAAGCAATTTCAAAAGAGAACGATAAGAATTGCCGCAAGAAAACTCACCTAAATAAGGACTCATGGTATAATAATAGAAGGTAACAGCAAGTGTTGTTGTACAACAAACGATACAACAACCACATGGAAATTTGTTTTTGTAAGTTATACTAGTGTCAACGCCATTTGACAGAAAAATGTAAACAAACAAATAAATTATATTTATTTTGAAAATAAAATATTTTCGAATCCTAAAAATAAAATTTGAAAAACATGAATGAAAATCTATCAAAATTATATTTCTATCGCTTCCAGATCTTTCCTATAATTGAACTATTGCCACTTATATGTGTAACACATATGAAAGTGAAGGGAATTGCGAGTTATTCAAGGAAGAAAGATTTGCTTCCTCAAACTTTCCCAACAGGCAGATTGAGTAAAATGAATACGGGAGTACATTTAATAAAGAACAATTTCGAATTGTATGCGTTCCCAATTTTCCTGTTGGGTGATTTTTAAAAACATAATTTGTCAAATTCATATTGACACTAGTATTACGTTGGAATCAAACCAGCTGGGACTTGCTGTTACCTTTTATAATTGTACCATGATAAGGACTTATATTTTTGTCTTTTAACGGATTAATTCTAGGGATAAGTAAATCGACTTTTTGTTTTGAAAAGTCTGAAAGTCGGAGTCCACTTTTGGCAAAGACAAAAAAGTATAAAGATACGACAATTGATATGTAGACAATTTGCAATATATGGCTTTTCCACTGTTGTTATGATATCATAACAACAGAGAGGACAATTTTAAACATTTTAAGCCCAATATCGCATAATTATACAACACATATATCTTTTCGGTGCAGATCTACGATTTTATTTACATTTTATTGACACATATTCGCGTTTTGGCGTTTATTTTTAACCTGTCTCGTTTATACCTGATTCCCTCAAGATATGTTTTCATAAACTATTTTGTTAAAATGTATTTTGTCCAGTTTTTACGGTTTCATGTTATTCATGTACGTAATTGTGAGAGCGAATAACGTTGTTCAAACGCCCGTACAGGAGAAAGCAGACTATCTCATAAAGAATTCGAATTACATTTTTACTGACTGTATTATTGGTTTCCTCTCGTTCTGCAAGAATCTACTAAAATCTACTAATCTGTTCGAAATCATAAATGAAAAACTGGCGTCGTAGTAAATAATTTAACATTCATAGAGGTTTGGAACAGCCATTATATTTGAAACAGACGCCGAATGATACGAAATAAAGAAAATTAAAAAAGCGATATTGCCACTAAGTTATGTTTTGAAATGTCCAATGTTGCCTCTACAAATTATGAATAAATTCAAAAGGGAACACAAGGAATACGAATGCGATCCCAAAAAGGAATAGAATAAAATGTTTGATGCGCAACATCACACATCATTCAAGTGCTACCAATCATTCTAAGAATGGCATCACTTATCTTTGTCTAAAGTAGACTTAGGTTCCCCTATTTTCTCAATTGTAGTCAGTCATTTGTCAGTCGTTGAAGGCATTGGAAAATTGAAAATTCGAGTTGGTTTGGAGCATTTTTAAAAACATAAAAAATAAGTGAAACTTTTGAACGAAAATAATCCCGTGCTGTGCCATTTCTGGAAAGGAGGAAACAAATGTAAGTTTTAATAGATTTTATCGTATATAGGTTATGTGGGATTTAAAAACTGTTAATGGTCGTTCGGTCGGTCGGCCTAAAAGAAGACGATGAGACAAAGAGAAATTCGCAAACGTTTTTGCATTGTTATACACATACTTTTTGCAATACGGCTATATATGTATATGTGTGTGTATTCGCCACACAAAAAAGGAGAAAAAACGAAGTCGTTATTGAAAGATATGCCAGAAAATTGTTTTAAACATTTTTAGGTGGGGGTAAATATGAAAAATACCAAATTTGGCGTAGTTTTTATCCTTAAATCCCTGTGAATCATCCATTTCAAATTTTAAACTCTGATTCATGTCGACTGTCGGCAGAGCCGTGTTGAGTCACGCAACGACGGAGAAGTGACCGGACAAAGAGAATCCATTGAGTGAATGAAGTGTTGAGTAGATAAAAAGAGTGTGGAAAAAATGCTCGATGTTGAACATGTCATTTTCACATATTCGTTTTCAGTTGCTTGAGTGGAACTGGTGTGTGCGGCAGTCTGGAAAAGTTTTCGGTAGTTTTTGTTTTTGCAATATTTGCTGATTAAAGTAGTTAGTTGAATAGCGGCTGCGTTGGCATTGCACAAAAGAAAGTAAAAATAAAAAAAAAGGTTCGTCTTGTGGGATTCTTTGTTCCTCGCCAATATACTGATATACTATCTGGACTGCCAATGGAACCGAAATTCTAAAATATTTTTTATCTCGTTTTTTTTTTCATTCTTTCTTGCAGTTAGATTATTTGCTGTATTATAAGTGTTGACGCGTAGTTTCCCTGTTTTTTCCAAGTGAAGTTTACCGCTAAAAATCATCAAATATGAGCTGGCAAGATTATGTTGACAACCAATTGATGGCCTCGCAATGCGTCACCAAAGCCTGCATCGCCGGTCATGACGGAAATGTTTGGGCATCTTCCAAAGGTTTCGAGGTAAGTGGACATCCATAATTACTAAGTTACAAATACTACATGGGCGTGACTCCTTAATACACACTTTTGGTTTTGAGTCGATATTGTGATATTAAAAGACAGACACGTAACGTATTACTGCGTATATGCCATTTTCGGTTCAATACAGATTAATGTAATACAACAATTCAAATTTGGTATTAACAAAAAAAGAGGAACTAATTGTTGAAAGCAAACGCCTTTGGGGCACGACACAGCACAACGCCACCTTCAATCAAAGTCCTCACAATGCCAACCACCACCACCACCGCCATCAATAAATATTAGCTATCTTTGTATATTTTACTCCCTACTTTTACATTTCCTTTCTTAACGACGGCGACAAACTTCACTGCAAGGGGAGCTTATGGCGCTTTATGAAACAGGAAAACACCAGTCGTTTGGCCTTTTTTACGATTTCTTCTGAACGTCATGAGAATTTTAATTTGGTTGTTTATACTTAAAATAGCCATTGCCGGTGATAAGGAGAAGGGCGGTGTCCCCTATATCACAAACCATTGTTGAAAATAAAATTGAGAAATTATTTCCTGTACAAGGGCAGCAGGCAGAGTACTGCTGTATTAATCAGAACCAAGACGTCTCCTATCCACCCCAGCGTGAAAAGACATATAAAATTTATGTGTATGTACTGCTGCACATATATGTATATACATTCAATACAATACAAAAACAACGAATGTACATTTCCTTCCTATATTATTCATTGGGACATTTATTAAGATTTGTTATTCCTCATAAACCTTTTCGTAAGTGACACTGGAGTGTGTGGGACAGACAGCATAAAACATGATGTACCGCCGTACCACATTATCAACATGTGTTGAGGATAATTCGTATTTTCTTTTGCTGTGCGTTGGTCACAATTCCATGCAGCCGGCACATCTTATCAGGAAATCTTCGTAGGGGGGACATAAAAACCCAAATGGTGCGGAATATCACAAATCCAGAAACACACGCACGCCCTCTCTCCCTGTGTATCATATGTTGTGTGAATAATGTCCTTAGATCTGACTACCACCACACCACACACCGCCTATATTCAAAACATTTTTAAAATAAACATGTACAGCAACATTTGGAGAAATTGTATTTTTAGAATAATTGTGGCATTCATTCGAATGGGTTCGGTCGAATGGAACATCTCAAATCCATGCAAGCATACTGAATCATATGTTGTGTGAATCACATCTTATTCCGTCTGACCACCACATCTACTTATTTTAAGAATATTTCTAATATTAAACATGTACAGTAACATTTGGAGGAAATTGTATTTTTAGAATAAATATGTCATCAGAATGAGGTTCGAAATTATTTGATGGTACTAAGAAGCAGGAGATGATATTACTACGATGTAACAGATGCATATTTTAGCGGGGGGTAACCTATTCGAACTTGTTATTAATGTCTTGAGAACGAACGAGTGAGCACACAAACCCACATATTTTACCAAGGCTGCGAATAGCCAGCCAAACTCAATGAAATCAGGCCGTTTGCCAAAATTTGATTGTCGTGAATGGAAAATTATTATTTTTGATATGCAAAAAAATTGAAAGAAAAACATTTTAACACATTTTGCAGTTTGTGGCAAATTTTATAGACATAGCATATATATTCATATGTATAGATCGGCATATGCACAGCACAGCACACTTTCACACGCCCATTGTATATTCATAACGCTCAACCGGCATCGTGTATATTTTTCTTCTTATCTATCTTCTGCGAGTTCTTCTCTGCCTCTTTCGTTTTTTGCAACCTTTTATCCATATTCCACAGCTCTCCACTGTTCTCTATACTCGCTATACTCGGCTCTCTGTATTCCAATTTATGTATTCCATTTTCAACTTCTTCTGTTGGTAGGTAGAGGTAGTAGTAGGTATGGACGGTATATATGGCGCAAATGGGAATTGAGTGAGAGTCTGCTGATACCAGACGAGATGTTTCGTTTGTATTGCCAAAAACCGGCTGCTTGTTGTCAAAATGGCCGCCTTGTGGGTACAGATAGGGGAGAGAGAAGCAAAAGGTTGCCAATGAGTGGAATGGTGGAAACTACTGAGTGCTTTTGAATGCAAGTTCCATTGTCTGCTTGCTTTACTTGCTAACGTCGCTGTGCTGTGCTGTCGTCGCGGTCGTATATCTTGTAGTATTGAGTGACATTGAAATTTTTGCAAAGGAAAAAAAAAACTGAACTGTCAGCTAAGGGTGGTGGTGGTGGATTACACACGATACACATACTATTGTTTGTTACTAGCACTGTGTGTTTGAAAACGGGTAGGTGGTGGATGGATGGGTGGGTGTGTGTATCTGTGAGTGCGTGTGCGTGTGTCGTCACTTTGTAGATATGTTTATATACATATTTGAGTGTCAATGGACTTGTTAATAAAATTTGTACATCTTTTTTTTTCAGGTAACAAAGGATGAACTGTCCAAACTCATTTCTGGATTTGACAATCAGGACCTCCTAACCAGCAACGGCGTTACATTGGCCGGTCAAAGATATATCTATTTGTCCGGTACAGATCGTGTAGTCCGCGCCAAGTTTGGACGTAGTGGAGTTCATTGCATGAAAACTACCCAAGGTTAGTAGAAGTAGTATGGTCCCATATCGATAAGTTTATCGACACTGAATTCGTGTGCGATTAGCTTTGAGAAATAAATATGAAACGTTGACGTTTGCGTATTTGTTTTATAATATGGATGCTGCCTGCAACCGCCGTAGACAGCCCATTCGCTCGCAAACACTTCTATTTATAGTCATTTATTTTGAGTATAGAATCAACATCATATTTGTATTGAAAAATGCTTGAATGATGTAGGCCAATTATTTAAGGCGCGACATTTTTAGAAATGCAATAAACTGAATTACAAGTGTCTGTAAATAAAATATTTTTTGTTTGTTTTTGCAGCCGTGATCGTTTCCATCTACGAAGACCCCGTTCAACCACAACAGGCCGCATCCGTTGTAGAGAAACTTGGAGATTATCTGATCACCTGTGGGTACTAGAAAATAATAAAAATACTATACATAACACACATAAAAGTAATTATAATATTAATAAACGAAAAATATCATAAAATTATTATTTGATAAACACTTTTGGAATTTTCATACAAAAGAATAAATATAAATATATAAAAAAAATAAAATATATCTTATAATATTAAATGTGCGCATTGTGTTGACGAATCTTGTAAAGTGTGGGTAGAATACCTAACGGTAATTTGGCTAAGGAGGAAAGGGTTTTTTTTTTGATTTTTCACCGTATGCAATGCATTATGCAATTTATAAGGAATGGTGTTATTTATTTGAGGATATCTTCGAACTGATAATCGGGGTGACATCAAAACAATTGTTAGGTGTCTTATTATTTCATGCACTAGGAAACGAAAACGACATACATTTTTTCTTGCGATTTGGCTAGTGAAATTTAAGCAGCAAATTCAAAGGTATGTTCGTTTGTAATCAATTAGGAAGAAATGAATTGCTCAATTTTACGATATTTGTCAATTTTCTATATTGCACCAACAATGTTGAATGACGGCTTTTGTTTGCTGCAGTTTGGATTTAATCACCGAAATGGAAACTTCACATTTCTTTGTCGTAAAAATTCTTGGACTTTTGCTTTATGTGATAATAGTGCCGCAAAGTGAACATTGCCAAATGATTGTCCATGCGGATCAATTCTTCCTGAGTATAAACAGTTTAGAAGTTATCAAAATTGTTCGTAATTATTCATACAGTGACAACGCAATATTAAATTTTATAAGTTCTGTTCAAAGTAGATTAATAAAATGTTTCTGAAAAACATTGACAACAAAGCTTATTCGGCAGAAAACAAAGATAACTATAAAAATACTTATAAATATTAATATTGTGACACGATAAGAGTATTAAGTTTTTACTGCCGATTAAATCTTGTGCGAAAAACTCCCAATCAGTTATAAATTGTATTCAAAAATTGTGCTTGGAATGCAATTATCCTGCTTGATTGGAGAGTTCGCAACACTCACACACTAGCCGATTTCACAAGGGTTCGTCGGCAGTTCCTTAATTTCATCCATTTAAAATATATTGAGTTTATTTCATTTTCTAGATGGATACAACTCCGTTGGAGCACCCATTTATGTGTCATCCGTTTTTATTTTATTGTACTGGGTGTGGTCGCCACAAACTCCTCTCTACTTCTACTCCAAAAACTATTCGTATAACAAACACTGAAAGAAATTTTGAAGTAACCGAACCAAACCAACATTTGAAAGACAAAAATGATAAACCTTTTAAAACATTGATGCATGCCGCAAAAATTCGATCTAGAGTTAATAAAGATAAATGAAAAATAAATATCTACATATGGTCATTATTTTCGTTTTGAATACTCCGTTTTTTGAACCATACTAGAATACGAGTAATTACGATATGTAATTTTGTGACCAAATAAGGTGGGCGAAGAATTACGAATATTGTTGAATTTAGAGACAAATATATATTAAAATTAGCCATATCTACCGTATATATTAGCTTTGCCGTCATTGAAAATAAAACGAAGTTAGTAATCGTATTATTGTGGAACAATATCAATAGTGGAATACCACATATTTCAATTGAATTTTTCATATACTTTTTTTGTTGGTTAAATTTACGCAAAGAACTATATTCTTGCAAATGTATCTACACATACCTATGTATGTATGTCAATATTTAAAAAAATGTTTCTTGCATTAAAGGTGACCTAAATACTTCCAATAAATTGCTTACTACAAATTTTAATGAATTGACATTCTATATAACTAACCACGTAACACAGTCTGCATTTGCATGTATCAGTTTGGTTACGATTTTCATAGCGAATAGTTGATTTTTGTTGCTGAGAATTTTTGAAATGCCATTTTGTTTTGGAAAAATGTCCTTTGCGTGGTATACCATTGCCTGTGTACTATTGCGTATTGAGTTCGCTGCTTCGTCGGATTTAATCCAATTTGGAACTTCATCAGATGCAACAAATCCCGCTGAATATTATGCCTTGGCTGATGGGCAATTCCCTAACGTTGGCCCAACAGAAGACCTCAAACGTACACAAAGGTCCTTTTGGAAAAAGTTGTTTAAACATGGCTTTTTTGCCGACAGGGAATGTACCGACAACTGCAGGTTCGATGTTGGTGACGGTACAAAATCTAATGATAATGCAAGTGACGATTTCCCACAGCCCTTTCAACCATTTCCCCCACTACCGAACTGGCGCCCATTTCAACCATTATTTGGGGGAAATTGTCAAAGATGTGTTTGTCCAGATTGCGACTACGTAACTAATCCGCCAGCCACATATAATAGCAATAAATATGGTGACAGCTCAGATCAGCCGGTAAACAACTATGGAAGTAGTACCAGCCAAGGTGTACAGCCAAATTATAATAGCAACAACGCTGTCAGTAGCAACTACGTTCCTGCGAAAGAAGAAAAAGAGCCTTATAGTTACACAACACAGCCTAATGAATCGGGAAATCCAACTGAAAATAATATTTCGCAGGGTACCTATGAAAGTAACCCAGATCTTCCCGACGGAGAGAATGCCAAAAAGACCTCTCCTGGAGAACAAAGAGATGAAGTAGAAGAGATTTCAAAAGCAAAATCTCCACAGATATTGTATCAACCCATAATATATGTTTCATCACAATTCCAGGAACATGCTAAGAACTTATTCGATCCGAAATCTGGTGCCGTTGATATTGCGTCGACATCTATCCCAGCCAACGACGAACCCGCATCTTTACCCGAATATGATACATTAAAAACACCTTCACAAACGGAGTTTAATAAAAGTTTGTCGCCGGTTCTACCTTCTGAGTACAGCAACAACGAGGCTGCATTACCAAATACAGTGGAGCGATGCCGAGGATATATGTATCCTCCTGTTCAGTTTCCTAGTGTGCCCTCTTCGGTGTCCACTCTCTATGCGGTAATATCCCCTCAGCAAACTGAAGTGAAATCAATCGATTGCAACCGATTGTCTTCGAATGATGATAACGTCGGCCCCTCAAAGTATTCGCTTCCAGCTAATTTCTACGATAGTAGCAGACGACATTATCCTATACTTCCGCCGATCCCATTGACATGTGATGATCAACCGTATCGAGTGTGTCCCGAACTCTTTGAAGATTATCATCGTCAACTACACAAATATAATCCTTGCGCTAACGTTAATCCAGGCTACGGCTGCAATCCCAAAAACACATTTATTAACGCTCACCTGATAAGCTATTGAATAAGTTAATATCAATTTACGAATCTCTGTTTGGTCTTTGAAATAAAAAATACAATTGTCTTAACATTATTTTAAATGGGGTATGATGTGTTAATTCAGGGTCTGTAATAAAACGACAGAAGTAGGTGTATGATATAAGTGCCCATATTAGATGTTAACAATATTGGCGCATTTTCCAACATATTGTCCGTAATTTTGCTCCATAACAAAGTATATTTCAATTGGGGTAAAATTTTCCCTTAAAATTGTTTATGGAAAATAAAAACAAGGATTATTCTGCGGGATTGAAGTAATTTGACATTTTTAAAACATAAATAATATACGAAGAAGAATATAAAAAATGCGTAAAAAATGCATAATTGCCGAATATGTTTCATATATATAATACCCTCGAAAAAAGCGACGCCAACGTCATCTTTATTTTGATTGTAACATCTCATTTATAATTTATAATTCCTTTTTGGTCACCTTCGTTCTATTGGCAACACATTTCTTTGTGGTCTCTTTTTTGTATCTTCTTGACGAAAGTCGACTTACGGATCCCTAGTATTAGTGTAGTGTATCAGTGAATTTTTCCTAACGATCAGGCAAGAAAGAGTGAGTCGTGGTTGAATTATTCCAAAAAAATAATTTGTAAATTTATTTAAGCTTACTTTAAATAAAGTATTGGTTGTAGTAAAGCTTGACAAAAGTAAAGGAATAAATACTCATTTATTCCAACCGATTATTTTTCATGAAGCGTGTGAGCAAAGCTGTATTGGTCGTTGTGTAACATATTTTGTCGAAGAACAACGAAAGAACGAAACGAAATGCAAACATGTGAAATTGTTAAAAAAAAGTTCTATATAAAATGTATTAACTTCAAAAATCTGATTTAAAACCAATGCTCTTTGAAATTACGTTTCTTCCAAGGAATCATCGATGTGTAATACGGAATTGATGAATACCAGAAGTAATAGTTGGGTTACATAACCTCTAAACTGTAACAGCTTTGCTCATTCTGCCACTACAAGGAAACAATTCTGAGTCAGGTGTGCTGTGTAATGATGAACTAATCGATTTTCTTTTTTAGATTTTGTGATCGCATTCTTTTACCATGGCTCTACGTGTTATTAACATGGCTCTCCGCCGTCAGCTGGCTGCCCAATTGCCCCGTACTTCCCAAGTGGGCAGCGTTGCCTCTGTCCACACTTTGGAGAAAATTGGTAAACGTGAAATCGTCGGCTACGGATGGAACGGCACTGCATGCTATGTTGACCGTGTCGACTACCCCATGCCCCCAGTACGTTTCCGCGAGCCCACCAACGAAATCAACAGCTTGCGCGAAAAGGAGAAGGGAGACTGGAAGAAGTTGAGCGTCGAGGAGAAAAAGGCTTTGTACCGTGCCAGTTTCTGCCAAACTTTGGCCGAACTTAAAGCTCCATCCGGCGAATGGAAATTGCATTTGGGTATGGGCTTGTTGTTTGCCAGTGCCGCTATCTGGGTAGCAATTCTCATGAACCTTTTCGGTAAGACTATAAGCAGGACCATTTAGGAAATGTGTGTTAATAATCCCTGTTTTTAGTTTATGATGAATTGCCTGCTTCATTCGATGAGGAACACCAAAAGGCCCAATTGAAGCGTATGCTCGATTTGGAAATCAACCCCGTTGCTGGTCTTTCATCCAAATGGGACTACGAAAACAAGAGATGGAAGAACTAAATTTGCCACTTTGAGTGGAGAAAATAGTTGTTTCTTTTGTATATCTAAGTCGACACCTAAAATGTTTAGCCCATTTGTTATTGTGACTTGAGATGTGAAAGTATTTAACTCATATTACAAATGTAATCAATGTAAAAGAGCCTAGCTTTAATAAATATTAGAGGAATCATAAATTAAAATGGAAAAAGAAAATAACAGAATATGGTACACAATAATAATAATGCGCTAACAAAAATAAAGACTGTCTTATGTTTAATCGAATAAATAATGATTTTATAGGAAAGCCTTAACGGCTTGAATAGGAAGATAACATGACTATTTGAATACTGGTAACAATTAATTTTTTCTCTCTTTGATTATTTCTGTTTAATTAAATATAAACATTTTGACGAACAGAAGTGGTTCGTTGCAAACGGAATATATAAATGCGCATGTATCTACTCTATGATTGTCTTTGGTTTAAAACAAGTAAAAAAGTGTCAGTGTTGCTGACAGATGTATACCCCCATCGTATGGTTAGTGGAGGTCTACAGAATTACTACAAACTGGTTTAATTATTAGCTTTATACCTGCTGTTATCAAATAGTTCAGTATCTGTGGAGAGGTAAATGTTTGTGAGGGAGGTCCTATCATTGGACATGATCTATGTTTGGTAAAAGTTTGTAAAGTTAGGTTCAAATTTTCAGAATGTTGTTGATTATTGGTCAAACATATACTCCATATAACCGATCACACAGAAAATGATATTCTTATTAAGGAACAAAAATTTCGATTCCAAATTGATATCGCAAACTGAACAGTTATAGCGACTCGTGATAATCAAATAATATTTTCTTTAAATTACACATGTACATATATTTACATTCATACATATATGACAAACATTATTTTTATTTTAGATTCAATAATTCAAATTCAATTTCAAAAAACCGAACCGCTTCATAATTTAGTTAGTAGTTGCAATCGAATGCAGTTTCTAACATTCTCTCTTTTTTATTCAATCAAACTTCATTGATAGCACAAAGGAGTGTAAGCAACTGACGTTGGATGTTTGGTAGAAAAAGAAGCAGACAATTTACAGTTTGTTTTCGGGCTTTTTTGTCGATGGTTGGATTTCACAATAAATATTTTAATATCAGTGTTTTTGCCAGTGAAAATAGTTAAAAAGTGTATTTGAGTGAAGTAACGACAGCCGTGGAAGTGCTTTCTTACGAGGAATATCGAGTTAAAATAAAATAAACAATGTAAAGTGGGAAAAAATCTAAGTAGAAAAAGTAGCGGCCCAAGTCATTTGGAATGTTTGTGTTGTTTATCAATGGGCATTGCGTGTGGGTGTGTGTGTAAAGTGTTGAAATCTAATTTGCGAATATTAAAAAGTTCAAGTATAAAGGAAATATGAATATCGAGTTGAAATAAAATAAGCAATTTCAAATAAGAAAAAATTCAATTAAAAGTCAATTGGAATGTTTGTATTGTTTGCCAATGGGCATTGTGTGTGTAAATTTTGATATATAATTTTGTTTATGCTAAGGCTTTCAAATAGTTTAATTCCGTAAAAAAGAAAGAGCAAATATGAAAAGTATGAATCCAAAAAAAATATAGTGATGCAAAATAAAGAAAAAAGGCTATTCCAATTAGTTCTGTTAGTGTGTGTTAAATATCAGTCGATATCCATAAAATGCCTAGAGAAAAGCTGCAATGCAATATAATAATAATTTTCGAAAGAAAATATAAAAATCATCACGCAATACAATTAAATTTCATCATGTAAGTTTTGTTTTAATTGCAATATTTCCATTTATTTTCAAATATAGAAGTGAATTTGCGGCTATAGTTCGACCCGGCTTGTGTGAAAGAAACTTTTACTGGTCAACATAGGCGTTTATATCTGTTCATTTTGTTGTGACTATTATATTTTTTTGATAAAATATATTCTGTACTACTCGAACAGTCGATTTGATATAATAATTGCCAATATTATTCGACATTTTCTCTCGTACTGCACAAATATCCGGGTGACCGGGTACGTCCTCAAAGAAAAAAGTATATCCTCATAATTTTAGCAAATGTTATTGGATGATGTTTGTTTAGTCCAAAGTCAGGTAATCTATAGTGACAGTTTGCTGAGAATGTGAAAGATTTATCCAACAACGTTTAGTGTATTTCAATGAGCCGGTTGTTTTAAATTTTGAACAAGGTCAAAAAACATTTTTATGTTTATTTTATTTTTTTGTTTATTTTTTATGTTTATATTTTGTTCTCTTTACATTTTACATTATTTTTTTTTCAAAAATTACTGAGTAAATATTACTGGACTAATTGCATATTTATATCGTTCTCATGATTATCAAATAAGACTTTGTTTAAATTAATTTCATACATATATTCATATCTGACAAATATTATTTTTTCAGATTCAATAATTCAATTTCAAAAAACCAAACAGCTTCATAATATAGTTAGTTGTTGCAATCGGGTTCAGTAAAAACGACAGTTGTCACACACATTTCTCTCTTCTTTATTCAATTCAATTTCGTTGATAGCACAAAGGAGTGTAACCAACTGACGTTGGATGTTTGGTAGAAAAAGAAGCAGACAATTTACAGTTTGTTTTCGGGCTTCCTTGTCGATGGTTGCAATTCACAATATATATTTTAATAACAGTGTTTTTGCCATTGAAGATAGTTAAAAAGTGTATTTGGGTGAAGTAACGACAGCTGTGGAAGTGCTTTCTTACGATGAATATAGAGTTGAAATAAAATAAACAGTGTAATGTGGGAAAAAATCTACTTAGAAAAAGAAGCGGCCCAAGTCAATTGGAATGTGTGTGTTGTTTAACAATGGGCATTGCGTGTGAGTGTGTGTGCGTGTAAAGTGTTCAAATATAATTTTGCGAATAGTAAAAAGTTGAAATAGTATAATTTCATAAAAAGAACAAATATGAATATCGAGTTCATATAAAAAAGAGGCGGGAGGCCCAGGACAATTGTAATGTTTGCCAATGGACATTATGTGTACATTTTTGAAATATAATTTTGTGTAAAATTTATATTATATCATTTTGTGTACTTGTGTGTTAAATATCAATCGATATCCATAAAATGCCTAGGGAAATGCAGCAATGCAATATAATAATAATTTTCGAAAGAAAATATGACAACATCAAACAGTGCAATTGAATTAAGTAAGTTTTGTTTTTAACAATAGTATTTCCTTATATTTTTTAATAGAGAAGTGATTTTACCGTTATATTTCGACCCGGTTTTTTAACTGTATCTCTCAGACGGCTTGGAAAGGTATCAAAAGCTTTAAAATGATACCCTTTTTAATGGGATCCGTAGAACTGGGTATAACTGGCACCCGTACCCGAACTTCCGGTTTAAATAACAGGGTTACCCACCACTGGAAAAAAATTGTTAGCAAATGTTTTTTGTTGTTGTCTGCATAGTCCAAAGTCCAGTAAACGACAGTTTACTGAGAACTTACTGTATTTGACTGAGTATAAATCTTTTAGTAAGATTTATCCAAAAAAATTTAGTGTATTTCAATGATCTGATTATTTCAAATTTTGAACAAAGTAAAATAACATTTTTGTTTTTATTTCTTAATTATTTCAAAACCCTAAATTTAAAGCATGTTTTAAAAGAAATTACATAATATTTTGCAAAATCTTGCAGAATTTTTTCAAAAATTACAATGTACGTTAATAAATTATTTCCATTTGTCTTATAGAAATAGTGATGATTTATAACTATGAAATTTCTTACGTTGTATCAAGGTGTATTAATATAATGTGAAAATGACAATCAGTAAGTTTTTGTTTACTTTTTTTGTTTCTTTTTTTATTTCTTTCAATATGTTTATGTAGGCCATTTGCTTAATGTTGTTATATATTTTCCGAAAAAATCTATGAACAATATTAATATTCAATTTCAATCATTGCCAATTTATTTTCTATAATAGTAGTGTTGTTTTTTTTTTGTAATAATTTTATGTTTACTTTTGTAAACATCAAACAATTTTAAATGTGTTTATAAGTATCAGTTAAATTTCAATCCAATGTCAAAAGTGATCCTAAGCATATTTTATATAAAATGTCAAATAAATAAAAACGCCAATAAGGAAATATGAAAAAAGCTTAGTGGTTACCATATAACCGTTCTCAAAGGTAGCCAGCAGGTTTTATAATAATTGTAATAGTTTAATAAACAAAATCATTTTTTTTAATTAAATATAGATGAAACATGTGTGAAAACACATTTAAATGAAACATTTACAAACAAATCGAATCTAGGAACACAACATTTTTTAGTTTTCCCAATACTAATAACATATTAAAAAATACATGCATATAACAATTTCAAATAATATTACATTTGCTTTATAATGTGTGACTTATTTGTGTGTAATGTGTGACTTATCAGATAAAGAATCTAAGGTTTTGTAAAAGGAATAAGTAATCAGATACCGGTAATAACAACTTTGCAATAACAATAACTTTCCGTAAGCTAGACATTAAACTTACCCCGACAAGCCGAAAAATATCACCACAACAAACAAATATATATTTTTTCTAACGAAAATAACCGTGTACTATAATGACGAGTTTATACCGGAAATTTTGCCTTTTTATTCTGTTATGGATGATTTATCGGTATAAAAAATCTTGCTTTCGCCAAACATAAGCAATGATTTTCTAATTGCAAATTCTTTGATTTAAATATAAAAGATGCGATTTCCAATCAACGACAAAAATGCCCCAAAAACAAACTGTAAATGTTCTGCTTCTTCTTCTACTAAAACATTCAAAGTAGGTTGTTGACATCCTTTTAGTGCTATCAATGCCATTGCGGCTATCCGTCGTTTTACTACATCCGACTGCAATAAACATGAATTATGCGGCCGTTTGATGTTTTAGAATTGAATTTGAATTATCGAAATTCAAATAATTTATTTTCCCCATATATTTGTTAATAATTTAAACCAAATATTATTAGATATGCACAAGGAACAATTAAATTGTAAAATTAGCTGCAGATTTCAAATTTACCACACAAATAAATTGGCACACAACAGAAACATTCCAATAGACCTAGCCGTTTCTTTTTATTGGATTTTTTCTTATTTGAATTGATTATCTTATTTGAAATCGATATCCAACGTAAGGAAACACTCCTACTGATTTCAATTGCAATTGCAAATATAACTAAGCAAATGTAAAATAATTTAATTCCATAAAAGTGGGAAAATATATAAATCGAAAATATGAAAAAAGTCGTTGAAATAGTGGAAATTGCAATAAGTTCAATCATAGTCGTAAGTGTGTGTTTATATATATATATGAAGCAAATCAAGCAATCGATGAATGTCTCTCATATATCTAAAAATAAATTAAAAAATTGTAGTAGTAAATGTACAAAATTCTGGCGATTACGCACGAAATTACATAACATTCTTTTGAAAGACTCTTTGAGTTTTTATCCTGCTCTGGTTGGTATTTCGTGATTAAAATGTTGACAGCAAGAGAAGACTAAGACCTTATTTTGAAAAATGTAAAAATATGTTTTAAAATCAGTTGTAAATATAAGAAAAAGTTTGCAGATTTTGGAAAGAAAACCTGACATTTCATTAATTCGTCGTCTTTTTACTCCAACAAAATCGAGCGTTGATTATCGAAAGAGTCATTCTAACTCATAATTATATTTGTGGCCTGTAGAGCGATTAGAAACAGACAAAAAATTTTCGGTCCATTTCATTTCCAAAATATCATATGATCACTAGTGATAGCTATAGACTTCGTCTTTGAATATAAACAGAACATTACGTAAAATTCCATCGCGATCAGCGCGATTTTTAAACATTTAAATCTAGCGGGAAAAAATTAATATCTTTTAAACGAATATACATAAGAATTATAACAGTGGTTCTTTGATTACATGCACCCACAAGTTTTTTCTAATATATATAATATCGAAAATTGGTACATATGTTGCTCATGTGATAGATATTATCCTGTTCAATATAATTTATATAGTTCCACGATTTAATATAGCCCTTATATAACTATACATCGCATTTTACCATTAATAAGTTTTTTTTATTAATAAGTTAACGGTGGATACAAGTTTGCATTACAAAAATTTATGAATGTAGGTGCACGTTTAGAATACAACATTATAGTCAACTGAAATTGAAAATAGATTTGTATACACTGCATAATGAGTCCACAGCGGTCACAAAGTGCGGCTTAAGTAGAAAATCGGATGAATCTTATGTATGAAAGCTATATGTATATATGAACCGATTATAAACATTCAAATGAAAATTTTTAAAGTTCCAGCTGCTTCCATAGTGCCCTGCTAAAAAATGCTTAATTTTTTTAAATTTTAAATCCTAAGCTACTGACAATTTGTTGTTCAATCCACCAATTTCAATATCATGGAAGTCGTTCTAAAATCGTGGTCTTATTTTAATTTACCCAAAATATTTGCCAAATCATTTGCATCAGATTATTTATTATGCCAATACAATTATTTTGTAATACAAATTCCCCTAGAACATACCAATTGTTCCTTGGCAACCGACAGCGTGTTGTGATTGCCATTAACATTAGCACACCTGGCAAATAATTCTCTAAAAGGCGATAACATTTGACATTCTGAACTCATCCACAGATCCAACTGCGTTGAAAATGTAATATGGCATGCACCAAGGTGTATACTTGATCAACGGACAATCTGTTGGTGTGGCTAATTATCGCACCAACCTATTGCGGGATGAGATCAATTTGAGTGCTCTTCGTGCTGCATACAGTCCACGAGTCATTTTGTGCCCAGCAGCGTCATTTTCCCACACTTTGAATGCAGAATACGATTGACTTTCTGTGTACGCAGAGTAGCCATTAATGTATCTACATCAGCAACATACCAACATGCATATATGCACATGTACATATGTATGTATGTATATACGAAGTGATCACTTGTGTGGTCATATTAACTTCACTTTATTGGTATTTATCAAATTATTAAAATAGGTACAATTCTCTTTGTTCACAGTAAACACTTGCATATGGACGTATCGTATTTCATTTCGTCCTCAAAGAAGTCGAAGAACTTCACAAACTTTTGGGTTTTCTCCAGGAAGTCTTTCTCCTCGATGAAATTGTCGAACCACTTGATCAGATGTTGTTCCCTCTCCTCCTCCGCCTTGCTGAGACTGCTTTCGTAGTTGAGGAATTCCCTGGCGAAGCGATCGTAAAACTCCAGGGTGTAGTGCTCGTACACATCGAGTGGGTCCAGACTGTGTCGTTGGAGGACCTTTTGGAATTTGGGATCTTCGGTGGCAAAGAGGAGCTCCCTTGTTTTGGCGATTGCTTCGACGAGGTGCTCTGCTTTGGCGCAATTCTGATCGTCCTTGGAGTAGACTGTGAAGGCTTCCAGAAATCCCTCAATAGAGTCCTTGTAGATGTCATATATGGGCGAATATTCCCCACTATCATTGTCGACCAGACCTTCGAGGTCACGCAATACGTTCAAGTGCCACGGCTCCTGCAACATCATAAATATTCGAATGCATTGCCTGTGTTTGGGCAAGACGAACTGCAGCAGCTGGTGGCGCCTGGAAGGTTCCCGGGCAGCTGAAGAGATCTGAAATCGATTATCGATTAGAATCAATTTCGGTGTTTAGTGGAACCTACCTCTATCATCAAAGCAATCGCGAATATAATTTTGAAAATGTCCATCGTTGTGGTAGTCGCCGTCTTTTGTTGTTGATATTCTGTTCTTTACTTTTGTCTATACTTTCGCGTTTCGTGTATACCTTCGTACTGTTTCGATGATTATGAGATGTTCTCCTGCCTTTCTTTGTCGCAACCGTGCGTCGGGCTACTGCTCGGACTGCGAGCGCAGAGAGACTTCTCGTTCATATTCATATGCTGTGACCGGGTTGCTACTGCTGCCAGCTTCGACTTGGGATGGGGGGTTTTGTTGTTCGATTTGTGCAAAGCGCGTCTTCTTCGGTGTTGAGAGAACGATGTTGTATCTTATCATTGGAAAAGATCATTGAGCCAGAGCCATGAATGCTTTGTTTATTGCCATTGTATTGCATCTGAATGGATGCTTTCATAGCATCCATCCATCCAGCCATTTGTGCTTAATGATTGTCGCTTGATGTCGGGAAGGTCGGGGAAGTCAATCGGGGGCTAGTACGTAGTAGTTTTATTTATTTTGCTTGTGGAGGAGGTTCGTCTAATGATGACGGAAAAGCGTTTGCGAAATGAGGTTGCAAAGCATTTTGTGGATATGCTGACGATCATTTCAATTGGAATCTGTCGCAAAGTCGCATTTGGGTATCAATATAACAAATAATCGGAAATATTGTCGAAAAATCGAACTACCAACGATGACGTTCCCATTCTACTGATTAACCAAGAGAAACAATAATGTGAGCAAATATCAGTTTGTGACCGATCGACCGACCGATGAGAATATGAAATTCTGATGGGGTTTCTTCCATCGTATGGTTGGAATTCAGTCAGTCAGGCATCTGATAACCTCTTGGCTTTGAGATTTTTACAGTGAAATTTACACGGGCCAGTCTAAACAAAACTCTAGCAATTGTTTTGAAAAATATTCAGTAAGCGTTCACGAGTCACTTCGAAAATAAAATGCAGCACAAAAAGGCCCTATATATTTATTGGATACTTATTCTATTTGGGGTAAGAAGAAGAGTGTCAAGTGTTGAGTGAATTGTGTGTACGCGAACTAAGCCATCATTAATTACAGATCAAACAGGCAGTGCCGTTAGAGTGGGATTACAATGAATTGAACTCTAATGAAGTCATCTCTTCGCATTCGACCAACGAGATTGGCAGTGGTAAACAAACTGAGAGTGCCGAACAGCTCACACCCAAAGATCAATTGTTGTATTTCACGCTGATTGCTTTCCGGGATATCTCGCAAAGCTATGTGGATCGAGCGGCCAACATAAGTCACAATATTCTGGACGATGACGATCTGAAGAACAACAATATACCCATAATTAAGGAATTCCGCAAAAATATCACCGATTTCTTGGAACGATATGAAAAATACGAAGAAGTAGAAGAACTGTTCAATTTGGTGGACCTGTATTCGAATACCACATCCCATTATTTCGAAATGGATGCTGGTACAGCTACTACAGATATGTTGAGTATTGAAAGCAAACTGAAGAGATACGGATCAGATGATTTGGACAGGGAATTCGAGAAGCAATTCATTCTGTTTGTTGATCGATTCTATAGGCAAATGGACGAGTACAAGGGGAAACTAAACGAGGAAGAGCTGAAGAAGGAAATGCCAATGTTTCAGTGGCTTGAGGAATTCAAACCCATAGAAAATACTGAAGAGAAAATAATATCATTTGAGAAGTTCTTCCGTTTCTATGAGGATTAACTGGTACGATGTACAGTAAACGGCGGTTAGTTTGCATGTAAATATCGATGAGAAGCCATATAATTTTAATGGTATGTGTAGGATAATTATCTACATGATAGCTAATTAAAATCTCAATTAGAATATCTAAATAAAGGCAATTAAAATGTATAATAAGAAAACATGATCGAATTTTTGACAATTCCCAGTTATTGGAGGAAAGAGATGAGGCGTTGCCAGTGCCAATGGAATCAGAGACTAAGCGATTAGGAGGTAAGGAGGTTGAGCTTCTTTTTTATGTATGGTGCTTATGTGCGGTGTAGTTAAAACAACTTACACAATTTCGATCCCATTTGAAAAATTTGCGATAACATTCGAATAGGTGACAATGACGTTCTCTCCATATAATGCAGTAGAGTCTAAACAGAAATGCCTAAAAGAATAAAGAACAACTTTGTGGAATTATAAAAAAAATGTTTTTATTTATAAACAAATAAATGTATAATCATCGATGCACTCTTTTATCTGTTGTGGGCAAAGGTTCTTTTCCTCAGATTACAATAAAATGGTCTATTTAAAACACATTCAATGGCAGTTACGTTTTCTTGGCTGTTTTTTGGTTTTTGTTTTATAATTTTACTTGTCTATTCAAGACGACACGTTGTCTAGCAAACTTCTGTCCATATCGATGTCATGTTATTCATTTCATTTTTTGTCAATGTTTCGTATTCTTCTTTTAGCTTGGCATCGTCGAAACTTTCCATCCACTTCTCGGCCTGATTTTGCAAGTTCAGCAAACCGTTTTCGCTTAAAAGTCGTAGAACTTCTTTAGCCTGCGGTGAAATTTCATCCTCCTCCTCGGCGTATGGCATCATCACGTCCATAAAATTGACCATCAATTCGATGCTCTTTTTGGCACACATGCCAGAATTTTCGTTGTACTCATCCAGTAGACGTAGGTAGTTCTCCAGTTCACCTCGGTATTCATTGTAGTCCTCAGTATCGGGCATTGCCTCAATTACCGCATTGATCATGGGGCCACTCTCATTCACTACATTTTTGGCAAACATGAAGAGTTCCTGCACATTCTGTTCGATATAAGTACTCCGCTGAATACGTAGATGATAGGCGTCAATGTAGAAGCAGACCTTTCAAAATTCAAGAAAATATTCATATTTATTATCGCCATACAATCTCTTAGTAGAACGTAGTAGAATAAACCTGCATTATTACAGCAATGCCAAAAATTGTCAACACCGTCCTCATGGCACTCCCGATATTTACCAGCTGATATTACAAATTGCACTGAAATCGGTTTTCTGTGGCGCTTCGCTTTTGTCTGTGCCATTTCTTAAGAGATTCTCGTTAATTCAGATTTAATTCAAAAGATCTTTTGATATTCTCTTGCGAGAGATTCTATCAATTAAACGTACCTATTGAGGCATTTACATATAACATATTATTTACTGCAGGGTCGTAGTTAGGTGGGATATGTAAGGGCCAAAGACTTGAGTTTTATTTGTTTGTTTATTTTTTAAAAAATGGCTTTCGGAGGGAGGGGAGGGATAGTATAGACCTTTTGTGCGGTCTAATAACTAAAATGAATTGAAACAAATAATTACATTGTTTGTTAAACTGTACCCGCACGTAAATTATGTGTAGGTCGATTTAAAATAACTATTACGATTTGCATAGATCAAATCTAGTGTCTGATTTGATCCAAACATTGCGTTATCTTGATATTGATATTAAGAAATTTTCAAAATGTTGACACATTGTTGATCTTTAAAAGCAAAATATATTACCATGTAAAAAGTTTGGATGAAATTGGATATTGCTTTCGCTCCTTACAAGATTTACAAGTTTTTGAGATTTTGACCCTTTAATTAATTTATTATTTTAAACATAACACACAACATAAACACTTCTCTGAACGAATGCTGAAAAGTATAACATGCCAAACTCTCTATAAGTCATTTGAAGATAATCACAACCAATTTTAATTCAACAAACTCATCGGCCGAATGCCAATAAAAATTCCAAACACAATTCTTGTGGTGATTAAAATTGCAATTTTATTCCAAGGAAATAGAAAAAATAGAAATAAATTACATGAATTTTAATATTAAGCAGTTCATAATTAGCATTTAGTTAATTACCTATAATTGTTTTATTAATCCATAAATGTGTTATGCTGTAGAAAACGTCTGTAAACTTATGTAAATATGTTTGATTGTATACATATATATATTCATGTACATGCATGTATGGAGTATAAAGTGGAATATACTCGAATGTGTGTGTGTGTCCTCCTTAACTCTATGACAATAATTCTGTTTTATAATATTATTGATATATGTAATTACAAATATTATGTATAATTATTTTAGTTTACGTACATACATTTACATACTGTTTTTTATATTTACTTTGCTTTCTAAACAGGTTTTAGAATTCTTTTAACGCTCTATATCTGCTGTTGGCTGATTTTATGTACACTTATACATTTAAATATTCAAATGTTCAAATATATCTAGCTATATATAATTGATAGATTCAGAATGTTAACAGCTAGCATCCTAAAGATGCCAACATTCCAATTAAAATTGTTTAATAAGTTTTACCGACTGTCAGAATGTTGTAAATATGGGTATTATATCAATATGTTTACCATATATGCTATATATTTCTAAGCCGTCCTCAATAGTTCCAAACAAATATAACAATTTTGAGTGGATTTTTAAGGTATATTCAATTTCCTTGCTCACTATTGGATAGGTAGGTATTCACGCATGTATTATACGTCAGCTGTATATTGGCCCTGTATCTGACGAATCATTACCGATATCGAATTTATAATTTGAATATATTTTAAAGAAAATTACCCTTTTTTGTTAACGCGTATGACCCCACATTTTTTTGAAATGTTTCCGAGGTTTGGATTAGTTGAGAAGCACAAGTCAATTTGTTACTAGATTTTTTTTTGGACATGGAATATATACATTAAATGGTATTTAAAAATTCAAGATTATTTTTTGCGAGGCTGTGTTGAAAAAAAAAAACTGTTTGTTTTTACTATTTATGATGATTATATTAGCATTAATGTTCGTTCAAGGGGAAAATATAAAATGAATATATCCTAATTTAATTTTGTATATTCTACTTCTTAGTATAATTTTTTGAATGTATTTACAATAAATATTAGATATTAAATATAAATAATATTCAGGTACAGGATTAAACAATTATGGAAAGTATTGAGTTCAGTTCAACATTATTTACCGTAAATTTGGTTTGAAGTAGGGATTTAATAGACAGTATTGACCATGTAACCTAAATCTGAATAGAAGACAACATTCACACTAAATAAACTATGTATAAAATATATGTATAATATACACATTTTTTTTATTTATTTTTATACAAATTTATAATTTTTCAATTTTTTTTATATACAAAATTTTAATTTTTTCAGAGAATTTATTTATTTTTTTCAAAATAGCTCTTTGTAGCTGTTACATGGTCGAATGTAGTGGGATATTTCATTAAAGACTTGTAGGATAATATATTCATATAAACTTCAATTTTGATTGCATTGTTTGAGGTAAAGGTACTTGGAATGAGAGCAAAGGGTGGGATATATGCGCATATGTCTAGTGGAATTATAGTTTAGTAACTTTGGATAGGAAACAGCTCATGTTATTAGGTACTCAGTATGAAACTCATAGATTTTTATGGTGATTTTGTAATAGTGTCTTTGTATAATAATTTGTAAATATTTGGAATATATATGAAGGTTTATAGTAAATATCAGTAACTTGAGTATCTAATTTTTTTATGATTCTTATTGAGTTGATATTTTTCTGTACATATCTCTCAGTGTACATATATATAAAAAAGAATTTATGTTTTTTTGATTGACCTGATGGTGTAGTAAAAGGATGAGGTAATTAATATAGGCAACGATATGATTTTTGTTAATTGCTGAATAATTGAATTTCTATCCTACTATTTTTGTATTATTATTATACATATATTCTTATTAAGTATATAACTATTTTTTCTAATTAGCTTGTTTTTAATTTGTAATTTAAATTTAATAAGGTACCATTGACAACTCTTCCATTTGCGAAGACGACAGCTAAATCACACATTTCATAGGCGACATTCAATTAGATGACCGTAGAAATGTGTGCTTTACTTTTTCTTCCACAAACATTGCATAATTGTTTGTTAAAAATAATAATTTTATATTGAAAATAAAAGCAAATCACTTTATCATATAACTTATTTAAATATTTATATTAATGATATCACTTAATCTTAGTATATATAACTGATAAATTTTATTATTGTTAAAGTTTTTATATAGCAGAATGTAAATGATCAGAGGGTAAAGGTGTATTGCCCGAAATTGCAAAGCAAACAAACAAGGCTAAGGCAAATTTAGACACAGTGTATTTGTCGATGATATATTGTAGATAATCATGTTTGTGGAACAAACTGAAGCTTAGATACAAAAGAAGTGTAAGTGTGGAGATAAATGTTAATAATTTTCTATATAAAAAAATAGGTAATTTGGCTGACCGGATCGGAGAAAGAATTATGTTTCTGACATGTTTTATAAAAATAGTTTAAGGAATACCTCTAGAATAATGCATAATATAGGTTTTTATTTTGAAATGCCAGCAATCAAACGTTTAAGTAATTATTTTATTGATAGGTAGCAAATAATCTGTTCTTTTGAGCGACCGACCTATCCTCTCAGCCTATAGCAGAATATTTATATGTCATTTTTGATATTAGAATTATTGCAAATGTGCACTTATAAAGTCATTTGCTTATTTTTTGGTATTGAATGGAATACAACGGTCCTCGTCATCGCTTGACAATTTTAAATTTTTAGAATTACAATTCGTTATATTTTCAGAGCTTATAACCCTTTCAGACACAATTATGTGAACTGAAGATTTTATAAGGCGGCTCGTATCGAACATTAAGGACATTTCCACTTATTCTATAAATAAAAGCTCACTTTTATTATTAATTACTTATGCTATGACTAAACGACAGAATTGAAAGAGAAAACTTTAGTGTGGGATAAAAGATTTAAATGCATTTATGAATATAGCGAGTCAGAAAAATTCTCCTAGAAAAGCAAACATTCTTGGATTCGGAGAAATTCTCTGGAGTATTACTCTAAAACTAAGCCTTTAATACTTATTAAATAATACTTATGTAAAAAAAGTACAAACCAAAGAAAAAAAAATTAAAAGAAAAACACAATTTAAAATGAAAATATCTCAAGAAGTATTTTCGTTTATTATCAATTGACAATCATAATATTAATGTTAATATTAATCGGCATCAATAAAATTAAATATACAACTTAAAATTGAAGTAAAAATATTACGTTTTTAACCATCAACTGGAAGGGACGTTTTGTTAAACAAAATGTACTGAAATCAACAAAAGAATAGAAAGAATGAAAAAAACAAATCTTATATTCTCTCACTTTTTATCACAATTACGAATGAAGAATTTCTTTAATTGCTAGAAGCTGCTGCGGCTGCCGCCTCCAGATCCAGAGCCGGCCGAACCATTGCCACTATTGTGTAGGGCTGATTGTGGCACTAGAATTCGCGGCGAGGTTAGGGAACGTTTAGGTCCGGCATGTTTCGTCATCGACACCACCGCCAAGGCCAAAGAGACTTCGGATGTGGGCTTTCGATCCACGCTGATCAGCGGGAAATCATTGACTTTGGAAGGTGTGTTGTTGGTTGACGAGGGGCTTGTTGCACAGGGATCTTTATCACTGTTGGGCAATTGTCACGCATACGACTGCGCTGTTTGTGGTATTATGTTGGGTGTGTACACCGAGTTGCTGAGAACCGGATCAACCTTCTCCACTAGATTTTTTAAACGCCCCCTCAATTCTTCCAGACTTTTTGATTTCGCCTTGTTGATTCGCTTGTATTTGACGTCTTTGGGCTTGGTTACGGAACGATGATTGGACATGACACGGTTGTAGTTTGTCACAGGGTTTTGTGATTTGGGCTGGTCGTTATTCAGTTCATCGTCATCTTTGCTCATGGAGCGCTGGTGATCTTCCATGGATTTTGCGTTTCTTTGTAGCTGGGGCACACGCATGCTGAGCGCGGTGGTGAAGCTTTCTTCGTTTTGAGAGGAGGGTGGTTGTTCTTTGTCTTTGGTTGTATCTTCGGGCCCGGTAATGGTAACGGTAGTTAGGGGTAATGACGGACCATTGTTGTTGTTATTACTTGTACTCGTGGCGGTGTTATTTGGCGGCGAGACCATTTCCATAGTATCCAGTTGTCCCTCAGTCGAACTGGAACTCAAAGCCTTTTCAGATCTCTGCTTGAACTTGTCTCGTTTCTCAGCTACGTCAGACGTCGGTTCGGGATCCTCTTCCACAGAATAAACAGTCTCAAGAATTTCGGGTCGGCGCAAGAAGCAATTGTTGCGTCTAACAACGCCATACTTATTGAGGCTAGTCTCAATGGCATCTGATATGGAGCGGGCAATTGTTATGCCATCTCCACCCGTGCTGGGAGCCGTACAGGGTCCACCACCACAACCAGCTCCCGAACCTTTTCTACGAATCCCGCCTATCAGTGTGATATTTGAATCGGAGTCCATATCTTCGAGAACCACAGCGGAATCGGAATCATTTAGTGAATCCAATTCGGTGGTATAGCTTGCATCGATCGTTTCGAGACCATGGTCGACCAAGCGCGAGGAAAGTGTATCTATTATTTTCTGTTGTCTTTGTATCGTCATCTCCCGATGTTGTAAAAGACTGGAAATTTGCTTCTGCTTGCGTTTCAGGCGTGACTCCAAGAGCAGCAGCTGTGAGGTCAATGCGTTCATTTGATCGCTTTTTTCCTTTTGATAGCGATACTGTTGCTGTACCTAAATTGGGGGAAAAACGTACAAATCTCAATTAGAATGCTGTGAACCACACGAAAGGGTGACATGATCTCTCACCTGCAGAGCATAAGCCTTTCTCCATTTCATAATGTGTTCTGCCTGAAATCTGACTTTGGATCGCAGTTCTTCTATCATCGCCCTCGCCGTATGCAAATCCTTGGGATCCTGATTCATCATATTCAAGCGGACATTGTTTGTGTGTGTCGATACGGGAATTGGTGGTGGCCACTGGAATTCCAAGGGCGGCTGTGCTCCCACCATATCCGTTGGTAATGATCCTCGGGGGCCACTAGGATTTTTGGGCTTAGGAGTTGTTGGGCCAGCCGAGGACGAGGAACCCTTGGCTAGGGGATTGGTTGTGGGTTGCTTCTGTACACTACACGCCATGGTAATGGTTTTGGCAAATTGTGAGGCACGAGCTGCATACATTTAGACTAAATATGAACAGTTGGGTCTTTTGTTAAGGAATTAATGTAGATTTGGCAAAATCTGCACTGGTTTGATTAAAAACGGAATCTGTTGCGTTAACATTGGTAGTTGTCGTTGGTCTTCATTTGCTGTTCTATTTTGGAAATCTGAAAGGAAGAAATTTTGTAAAAATAGTTGTTAGTAAATTTGTTCCGGTTTTTTCTTAAATTTTTGGGGGAAATTAAATTAAATTATTGCAATATAAGGCGGAGTGAGTGGACATCACTAATTCATAAAAGGAATTCCAAACGTTTACATATTGAGGTATATGAATTGAAATCTTTGAGCAACCCTAACCGTTGTGAAAACAGAATCACATATAGTTTCCCTCACAGAAGAATGTTCCTAATAATTTCGTTTCATATCCTGGGTTATATTTTGTGGTAATGGCAAATAAAGAGACACTTACTTAGCAGCTTAGGGTTGACATAGGTTTTATGTTGTGAATATTAGAGAAGACATTAAGTGAATGTGGTTTCCCAAATGTCATGGTAATACGCACACACATACACAAATGTCTGTCTAGGCTGTTAAACTCAAGAAGCAAAAAATATTCGCTTTGAAAATGACTTTGCTGTTGTGATTTGTAATAATTTTTACTGTCACAGAAAAAGGATGAAACATTTGTAGAAAAATGTTAGTTACATTCTTCAAAGTTCTTCTTATTTTATATGTATATTTGTATATTTGCTACAGACCACTTTGCTTTGTAACAGCGGTCATAGCTCTTATTGGATTCATCGTCAACATTTAATGTTGCTAATTTAAGGATTACATCGGCATTGCGCATTTAAGACCTTGTAATGTAAATCCTATTTTAATATTCTCCTCCCATTCCAGGACTCACAGTTGGTTTTCATTAATAATTGATGAAAATTGCCCACCCAAAAAAGAAAGAAAAAAGGAAAACATTCCCATTGTCTATTCTAATTCAATGGTGGTCTCAGTTGGTTACACAAATTGTTACAGCAAGAAATAAATAACTACAGCCGAAGTAGTCCGAGCTCTTAACAGATATACAGGGAAACATTCAAATGCCCAAAAAAAAAGTTTGGTAAAGCAAGTTTGTTTTCCTGTGTAGATGGAGAAGTGTCCTGGTGGATTGTGTCGATGGCATTTGTGTGTTCATAAGATTCCTTGAAATGATACAAAACAAAGTAACATGGGGTTATTGAGATTACCATGAAATTGTTGTAAACTTTGACATGCCATTTAGGAATGTCACAACCTATTTACTCGATAGGATAATTTACCACCGTTGCTATTATTCGGCAGAACGAGGTTAATTGTTTATGTGTCTGTTGAGAATAGAGTTCAAATTTGAAAAAAAAAATTAAACAGAAAGTAAAAGTGAGAAAATGTTTCAAGCAATCGCAGAAACGTTGGGGGAGATTGCCGTATTCCAGATAACTACCGAGAAACTACATATGAAATCTATACTTAAATCTGAATTGGTTCGAAAAAAAAAACTTAAAAAGTTGTAATTCTAGGCCAGACAATTATGACATTTTATCTTAGTTAAAGGGTAAGCAACGATATCTTCGTATATTGCATTTTATTAATTAGAACACAGAAGATAACGCCAATCGAGTAGGCTTTGCTTAGATTTTTTCTTCTTCTGAGTGTTACATATAACATTCAAAATATCTGATCTACAATATTATTCTAATATTATACTACGTTCACATTAATGTCCCGTATTCATTATGAACATAGCCGGAAGAAAAAACCCAATTTATATCATTTCCGCGTAGATAAAAATTACATCTAATTTATACACACTTACGTGTGGGCAAGTGCACACACTTATAACGCAACATATACATATTCTGCCACATTCAAGAGTTATGCAAACCAAAGGCTATTAAAACGATATAAAAATAACCAAAAAAGGGCCTGAGTTAACTCGGTGCGTTTTTGTAGTCGAGTTTGAGAACTTTGGATATGAGTAGGTGTATGTATGAGTGAGTGTATGTATGTATTTTTCATCACCATTGTTTTAACATTCGAATAGGTTACTAAGGGAATAGAAAAAATTATCCCAGCTTGTCCTACGTGTACGTATAATCGACAAAGTCAGCAAAATAATACTGTGTCAAAGTCAAACATATTAAACAAATACTAAAATGCCAACAAATGCAAAAAACCCGAATTGAAGACATAAAGGACAAAGGAATTTTTTAATTAATATTTGTTTTTGTTCCTGGCAAAACAATGATAGAACATTAATCCTAAAATAACATTTGTTCTCATGCAGATATCCATGTGTTTGTATGGATGTATGTACTCAGATTCCATCATTCACAACCACTGACACTCGCAGAGAAAATTTACAGCAGTCGTTTTCATTACAAATCCAGTAGCCAGTATAGTCAGGAGTAAAAAAGGGAAGAGGTTGGTTACACATGATTATCTACGCCATATCTTGCTTCGCATTCATATCAAGATAGAATTAAAAAAAAAATACAGAAGAAAAGTGTTTTCTACTTATGAGCAATAGCCACATTTATATAATAAAAATGTATTTTCATTATATTATAAAATAGGCACAGTTTTAGAATTTTCATCCCTGCTTTGTCTTTATAACTTTCAATGAGCAATTATGCCAATGGTTTATTTGTGTTACGGACAAGGGTTATTGCCTTCAACAGGTCTTAGCTTGCAGGCATTCCCACACAAATACATATGTAAGTATATTTACATATTTAGAAAATACTCCATCTGTTAGTAGAACAGTATCCCGTAAATAGTTTGTACAGTGAAAGAAGCATAAATAAAGTAGGCTCACGGCACATCAGGCCAGCGATACTCCATACACACTCTCATTTTATTGCGCTATGTATCGGTGCATAGTGTTGCGTGGGAAATCCGAATAAGTTTGTATTTAAATTATAAGAATTAAAATATAATATAACATATTGGAACTAAATGTATATCATAGCATTTTTTTAAATTCTTAGAACATTTTATGGCTGCGAGTCTTATTGTATTACCAACAAAAACATCTATAAGACAATTGGTGTGCTGGTTATACATCGAAACGATCTTAAAGAATTATTTTTTTCGTACATAGGATTATGAAGTCGCTTTTGGTGTCACAAATTTCAACAGACAACCATTTGCAATAAAATTTGATTGAGGCATTAGGATTTGACAGAATTTAATATTTCTTTATGAAAAAAAAAACATAGCAATAAATTTTATTATGCATATAAAATTGTTTTACAAATAAACCAAAAGCAAAACAAATGTAAACAGATTTCACATTGCATATTTTTCGGCTGAGGGGCATGAACCTTGCTATCCTCTTCCACAACACCAGTTGCCAATTTTCTCACGTATATTTTGCAAAAGTGAAGAGAACGTGTGCGGCTTTTCCATCGTATAGGGGAACAACGCAAGAAATTTATTCCTCATACGTCACAATGAACGTGTAAGAAGCAGGCAATAAATATTACCCATACGCCATCATTACCACTCGCTTATACCACCACTTCTGTTTTTTGGTTTTTGTTGTTTTTGTTTAAAGAAAACAAAAACACAAAAGGTATATCGCAACAATACTGTTGCACAAATACACACACATACGTATCATCCAATATGTAATACCAACTTAAATATTCATCAGCAAATATGCGTTTGGCATAAATAAGTAAAATTCGGCTTATATAAATGCAAACAGGCGTAAGAGCACGCACAACACATTTAACCCATACAAATGCCTCCCTTCTATATATGACCGTCGGTGAGCCTGAACCTACCTAGCAAACTTACATCCTTTGATGTTGATTCTGCTCCACCGCAGTTGTGTACTGGCGAATAACATAAATAGCAGCTACATAAATATGGTAACTGTTGAACAATATCAACAAATATACGCAAATATTGTTCATCTTCTAGAAACTGTAGTCGGCAGAATTGTGGTAGAAACACATTGAGTCCTTAGTTGAGTTGGAGTTTTTGTAGTGTCCATCATCTTAAGAATTATTGTGCATATCGCCAGTCTAACTTAAAATGTATTTTATTTTTTTATACCCTTTTATTATATGTCTCTAAAATCTAATCGGAACATTCGAATTTAATTTTCAAAATAACATATGTGACGTGCAACCTTTGTGATTCCCATTGAATCATTGCGTTGAGTGATCTGCTCACTATTATGACTGCTTCTTATCTATGAATTCTTTCTTGATAACGACTGTTTCTGTATACCGAAGACAGTCCGATCATTAGTTTTTCTGGTATCTCTTGCTACCTTCTCGCAATGTCCTTTATTTTTTGTCTATTCGATTTTCTAAAATCCATGAATTCGATATTGTGTGAAATACATTACCAAATTCCAATGGTTTGGTTTGTAATATCCAAACGATACATTGTATCATTGGATTCTTCGTAAGACTCATTCTACGGTAAGATGGCGGAAAATATCTCTATTGGAAAGCTACAATTTCATTTCCTATTTTATTGTATGTGTATGGCGGCAACAGTCTGTCTACTATTTCTATTGTTATCCTTTTGGAGCCTCTTGGAGCCTCTTTGTCTGGCATAGTCTGACTTTTGTCGAATTTTCATGTCATTTTCTTACTTTGGGGTTATTACCACACATCAACATGTGTGTGTATGTGTTTGTTTCAGTCGTAAAATGTTTGTAAGATTCGATTTCTATGACTGGCTTTTTGCGTTAGGTGACTGTTTGCTGGGTAGGTAGTCACATAGGTGGGTGGGATGATGTGTTTTTTATGACACCCAGTGTATCTGGGAGAAGGAAATGAACAGTCGATAATGAAACACAAACTTTGTGGAAAAAGTTATGTCCCACACAAATTAGAAGTGGAGTTCAAGGAAATGCTGCTGTTTCTCAAAGTTTTGTAATCGGATTTAATAATCAGTAGAGCAAGTTTTGTTAGGTCTTCGATGTCATGTTTGTTTATTATATTAGATTTGGTTGTAATGACATTCAATG